CTTAACTGCAAAATTTTCCAACATAGTCAAAATAAAGTGGGCGTTGAAGGTTTTTTTTGAAAGGACAGAGGGAAATCCCTGTGTTCCTTTAGTTGGTAGGACTCTTTTTGTTAAGCAGTCGGTAGCTACGGAGTCCAAGCCCGTTTCAACGATCGACTGACTAACCGAGCTGCTCCAAGCTTTCGGTAGCTCCATGAACTCAATCACTGTGACAACGATCCGTTTTGTGGCTGGACGAGTGGAATATGAGCAATTTTTCTTCAGCTGCCAACTTTATGGATTTTGACAGCAAAAACTAGTTTTTCAAGATTAAAACCTTTAGGGTTATGTAGGCGACAAATTTGTGGAAGATTTTACTCTATCGTTCAGTGGGTATGAGTGATTTGTGCACTGCTACATACCGTTTCTAGCAATGGTCCATTATGAAAATGCGTTGCTGAAAACGCTTGAGAATATTTTGCACCCTATATTAGCGATATTTCTGTGTTCTTCACATTCGCGCATTTCAGGCAATAACCATAGTTATCAAAACGAAATAACAGTTAATTGTTAGCCAAATTACCTGTCTAAGAATTTGTCCGAAGAAAGTCTTCTTTTGTAAAAACATTAAGCGCAGAGAATGCCTTTTTTGGTACCATCCCTCCTACTTTGAACTGCTTTCGATTAGCTATCGAATGAATATGCAAAGTGTGGTAGAAAGTTCTGGAACCCATTGAGGTGGAAAGGACATTGTTCACATTGTCGGTTGGCACGGCCACGTATGGCCACTATAGATTGCATTCCGTCGCGAATGGGTCAGGGCTCATTCTGTGATTTCTGTCCGTTTTCTCCTTGATAATTCACAGGATTCTACCAGTGCCTACCTAGAGGAGAGAATCGGATTTTCAATCCATATCAACGTTTCTTTCCTATTCTGACATGCTGAGAATTCTTGGGACAGTTCTCGATATTCTTGTTGCACGAGGTATACCTCAACAAGAATATCGAGAACTATTTGATTAATGCCGAAGTTAACAGAAAGTCGTTCGTGGAGATTTTTTGAACAGTTTTGAATGAATCTTAACCTTTTTATTTGCTGCCTACTTCAATTTTTAACGGCAGTGTATCATATGAAATACAACTAAGATGATACTAGGATATTTGCAAAACTCCGCACCGCAGGTGTCTGCGGTGGGCAACGAACGCGCTGTTGTCCTTTCCGGGAGTAACGTATTTACCACCACACCATATGGGTCTTTCGTTTCGGCTGTCTCCCAGCTAGTTCTATTGACAATAGCACGTTCGTTCCCCACCGCAGACAGCTGCGGTGCGGAGTTTTGCAAATATCTCAGCATCATCTTAGTTGTAGTTCTGAATGTAGTTTTATGCTTTCTTAACTGGCTGAGGCAGACTTCCCAATCTTCGCAAGGCTTGCGTTAGCATGAGGATATGGACGTGTTCTAACACTTGAGGGTCTTGCTCAAAAGGCGAAACCAACGAAGTGTTTAAAAATAGACATTAAAAAGCGTAAACGTTAGCTGGGTGTGAAACGACTATAATATATACCAAAAAGTAGGGATACGGGCAAATAAGATGCCTAAACTTTCGACCCATCTGCAAAACCTTTATTTTGTAAGTTTCAGCAGTTCGTGTTAAAAATAGGAACATGAGTAGGCATTGATTGGGAAACTTCAGTCACAAGAAACACCAGATGTAGGATCAATGTTTGAAAAAACCTCCACGGTCAATGTTAGAGGCCGATAAAACAGACAATAAAGATTTCGGCATTGATAAACCCCTGAGGGATGCGCCGTACATTCGACTCCATTAAGTATTGCAGAAGTGAACCACAATTATGCTGAGATGTTTACAAAACTCCGGGCCGCAGGTGTTTGCGGTGGGGATCGAACACGCTGTTACCCTTTCCGGGAAAAATTTGTTTACCACCACACCATGCCTCTCCTTCATTTCGCCTCTCTCCCGGCTAGTTTCCTATCTACCTGCGCCATGAGCAATCACCCATCAACGGGATTGATCTAAACAACACAAATCGGCACTGAATCCAGTTAAGCCCAGGCTGTAGTCGAAATCACAATGTTCACTTTTCATTTACTACCTACAATTTTTCACGGCAGGGTATTATGTCGCAACCCTTGTGGATCATAGAGAGATTTGCCACCATACGACTAGTTTGTCAGGACGGTGGTGCATCCTCGTGTTGGCTATATTATATAAATAGGACAAATAAATGAATATAAAAAGTTGTAATAATATTATAATATTAGAAACAATGTGATATAAATGATGAATAATAAATAAGACAAATAGATATAAATAAATATCAATACTAGTATAATACAAATTTTAATACCTCAATATCAGTGTGGTTGCATTTCACATGACACACTGTCGTGAAAAATTGTGGTAGGCAGCAAGTTAGAGTTAGCCCTGTCGTAAAAGTTGTTGAATGCACACCCGGCCTGTAGAACAATTTCAGTAGACCACTAATATATCAAGTCATGGTGCTACCCTTCCAAACAAATCTGTCATCAATTTGTAAAGCCTGGTGCAATGAAAGGCTTGGTGAGTTCATGGCTAGAGATCGAAGCAATGAATGCACGTGTAATTCAGGAAATCTGTATCCACTGCTCTGCACGCGCTCATTGAGGACGTTAAAAAAAAGCAAATATAGTCGCTATTATAAACGACTTTTGTCGTTATAGAGGGCAAAATCTCATGGCAGCAGGAAAAGCGTCGCTTGCTTGCGTACTTGCTAACTCCGGTCTTGCGTCAGGGTGTAACACCTCTTTCATGTTCATTGAAAATGCGAGAAATGAAAATAGGTACACCGTACCCTATTATTTAAACTAGAAATTTTGCTACGTTGTTTCTAGAAATAAAGGCACATTTTTATAAAAGGATAAAAGGAAAAAGCTCTCGGCGTTGATCAATCTTCTAGGGATGCACCATTCATTCGACATCAGTAAGCTCGTTTGGAGGTGATTGAATGCATATCTGTCCTTTACAATGACTTGCAGTGGTCTACCGATGTATCGAGCTATTGCTGCTATCGTTCCAGACAAGTTTGGTACCAATTTGCCAAACCCGGTGGGATGGAAAGCTTGGTGGGTTAAGGGCGCCGGGGTCGATCCTACATGTGTGTTGCAGGGCGCCTCCGACCACTGCGCACGCGCCACCCACATTTTTATAATCCATAGTTACTCAAGATACCTTCCAACGGTTTACGGCCTCATCGTGGTTGAGAGGTGTTTCTGGGTGTCGGAGTGCGATGTACAGCAGATGGATGAATCTTCTTGACGCGGCCTACCAAGCAGAGAAAGAGTACAGCGTTTTCATCAGGAAGCCATGCTAAGAGTAAACCAATAGCAGAATCTACCAGCCACTGTTCCAGTATCAGATTAGTCGCATGGTGGCATGTCTCCCTTTGATCCAACAAAGGCTATGCCTGCCTGTAGTGGTGACGACCTGTGGAGACTTTGCCCAGGATGACCTCGGGATTTCAGAGAACCTCAGCGGCTGAACCAACAACTCTCCAAAATATTGGAAATTGTGCTGGATCTCGCACAACAAGTGAGGGCGACTCATCCAGGTATGTAAGTATCCAAATATGTCAAGATACCCCTAAGAAAGCCCATTTTATTGTGAACTGTCTATGTCTTAGAGAACGAAGGTGGGATTACTGCCACCTCTTGCAATGATAAGAAACTAGTAAGGAAAAGCTCCATATCAGTTTATATTTTTTCTGTTTTGTAGTCTTGTTTAGGACTCTAAAATATCTTTTGGAAGAAAACAGTACTAAAATCTTTTCTGTGAATGCGAGTTGCGGTAGAAAGCATGAAGAGTGGCACTGGCATAGGTCAAGGAACCTTTAACCTTACAGGCGATATCTTTGGGGCTGGAAGCCATAACTACATTTATTTCTCGCAACATATATGATATCTTCACCTTAAAGACGTTCCAGACAGTGGAGGATCTCGTGTACGGTCTTCACTCTCGTGATGAGCGACCAAGAAGGCCTTCGTAGCTACAACCCGACTTGCTTGTTAAGTGTACTGCACGTGCTATTCACGATTACTATCGTATTGCTGTTATCAAAAAAATTGGGTGAGACAAAATCGGTTGAGAGAGCAGATATTCTGCTGACCGAGCCACCACCTAACGGTACCTATTATACTAAAGACCCGTTTGAAATTCTATATAACCTTGGCTGATTGCGAGAAGCTTTCTCTGCCGTTGAAATGAATTTAAATTCTTCAGACAAAGGTAGCTATTGACAAAGCGAAAACCTGTGTATAAAAGGATTTTGGCTGGTAGTTGTTGACGATTTCGCAATTTTTTTGTGAAGTAGAAATGAAGCAGAGATGTCAATCAATGGGTTCAACGAAAGCGAACAAAGGAACAGAATAGACATCAGGAGGAGAGAAGAGCAGAAGAAAGCTCAGTTAACGAAAAATCTGTGGTGCGAAAGTAAACAAATCAAGACGGAAGGTCATTCAATTACAGACACCACTTCATACGTATAGCACGGACGAAAATAAAATTGGAAAACAAACAACAAGAAATTAAGTCGGAGAAAAAAATGGCATGCGCCTCGTTGAAACCATTTCAGACAGAACACCAACTAGCTAACGTAGCCGAAACCGTGCTCATCTCCTTGGGTCGACGGTCTCTGCAGCACACTGTTATGCAGCAGGACTCGGGTTGATACTTCAATCACATGGAAAGCTTTGAGCTCCATCAATAGAGCGACTGAATGATATTTTCCGAAATTTAATCGACACATCATTTCTGGCTGGAATGCCTAGCTAAAATCTTTGAAACCTGTCGCATCTTCGAATTCCAAGAAAAGTAAAAATGATGGCGAAACAAAGATTGGCTGCCGATGTAGTGAGAGCCACAGATGACTGATGGACGACAAGTGCAGGGTGTGGACTCCAAGAGTATTGGTCCAATCAGATGACAGCCTACACGACGAGCTGACGTGTTGCGAGTCATGTTAACCACTAGTTCGCAATGATTATGCACTAGGTTATTGGCCTTGCAGACATCACCATATTCTTGGTAGACCACAACCATAGGCAGCGATTGCACGAAAAGAAACGAATGCAAGAAGTCCTTGTTCCACACAACTTGTTAACGCAAGCCCTTTAACTATCTAGGAAAGTAGGTTCACAGCATGGTTTTAAAAGAAACTTCCAAAATTTTATCCAGTCGGGGCCTATCATTTTTTCTTACCAACTTGCTTGTAATATCGCCTTCTCCGTGAACTGCAAATTTCTTGGTCATTGAATGCTTTGTAACGAAATCTAGTAATTAAAAAAAGCTCTCGGCGTTGATCAATCTCTGAGGGATGCACCATGCGTTCGACTACAATAAGCATCGTTTGGTGATGATTGAACGCATATTTGGTCTTTACAGTGACTCGCTGTGGCCTACCGATGTAGACTTAGTACTGCTATTCTCCCAGACAAGTCTGGTACCAATTTACTACCCCCGGAAAGATGGAAAGCTGGTGGGCCATGGGCGCGGGTATCGATTTCACGTGTGTGTTGCAGGTCACCTCCGACCACTGCGCCACACCCGCTTCTGTCTGCTATTTATTATCATTAAATTAAACAATATGAAATGCGAAGGTCTGCGCTAAACTATGCGACCAACACAAGTATGTGCTCCAAACCAGTGTAGCATTCATACATCTATACTTGAAACTTTTTCAAACACAAAGCGTAGGTGTTTTAGAAACGCAAAATGAGTAAAATTCTGGTGATCACTTCATAAAATCATGGAGAAGAATTTGATATGTCTCTGCATTGCTCACAGTACGGTAGAGAAATTGGAAACTTTTCAGACTGGCAAGTTCCAATACTCCGCACTTCATAGAGAGTCGAAATCCCTCTCTAGATCGCAACTGCTTCTTCTCTCCGGTGCAGTGCATGCTCGTCAACCGATCACCGTAGCCAATATCAACTCACTGTACTTGTGTGGATAAATTTTTCTTGAGAATAAACACGTTACTTTTATCCTTACCTATGGCAGGACTCTGAGGCGAATTTATAAAAAATTTTACTGCCACTGATGAGAGATATATTGTTTTCTATTTTCTGGTACTCGCTGTGTGCTAGTTAACATAATACGGACCGCTGAAGGGTGGATTAACCGTTGAAAAACAACCTGTTGTCAACGGATAACAACATCGACAACAACCTCTAGTATAAAAGAGCATCGCCGGGTGAGTATGCCGCATTCGATAGTGATACTCCACTGAAGAAGATATCGTCTGGGTACGACAACGAAGACGCCACCTCAAAAACACAAACAACCGTGGGTCATCGACTCGGGTCGTCGGCTTTGATGAAGGCGAAATCGTTGAAACGCTAGACGAGTAGGCAACTTTATCAAACTCGTCTAAGCTCAATATTATAAACACATGTTGATTATTTGACTACCGAGGTTAAATGACGGTCGGTTTCGAAATTATACATTTTTTTCGCTTAAGTAAAGAGATTTTACCGAGAAGTGCAAATTTCCGATTACGGCTGTGGTCATGAAAATGTGAAGGCTTTTTTTCTTCTTTATTCTTTTAAACATAGCGCTTGGCCAGAGACATGTCTGAAATTTTTCAGACAAATTTTATGAGGCAATCCACCCATGCAGGTTTGCTGAATTCGCGCCTCACTTTTGTTCGGTATGATGGTTATAACAATGAGCCCACAAAACGGAAGTTACTGAGTTACCCACGAAATATCTCCACTCATTTATCTTAAAATTCTAGCAATAGAACCGCATATTTGAGCAAAAAAAGGTCGAAAGAGCTTATCTGAAAGAAATAAGCTAAAGTTCGGTAGTTCTTCACGCTCGATGCATCTCTTCAAGTCAATCATCAGCCCTTTGGAGAAATGCACTCTGAGGCTTGGGGGCCGTCTTTTGTCGCGCCTAATCTTCTTAGCCTATGTGGTAAAGTTATCAACGAACGATGGTTACATGTAAGCTAACGATTGCCACCTTAATCATTCTAGATTTGCACACGGAAACAACGGTTGTGAAACGAAAATCTTGCTGATTCCTGCCAGACTAACTCGATAATTATTGTTAGGATAAGTGTCCTGCGTTAACCTATTTCATCAAGGAAGAATTCTGATTTTCTGGAGCCAATGACAAATTTCTCCCGTGCTTTATTGCTTGAGTGCTCACATTTCGGACACGAACCGAAAGAACAAATGGGATGCTAATCAGTAGGATTTGAGATGATCCCTAATTCAGCGTTAATTTTTACGGCTACTCCGCTTCGTTCGAAATTTTGGGAATTTAGGTTTCAGTTCCAATTTTTTCGAGAATTTTGGATTTTGGTTATGGAGCAAAGCCTCTTACAAAGGTCTCCGACCGGTCGTCTTGTGCTAATATGAAGACGAATTCGCAAGAACCGAGATATAAACAACAGTAAACCATTTTTAAACAGTACGCCTGACTCAAATTACCGTGAATCTAAAGAAAATAAACTCGACGAAACTTTAGCCACAATGAGGATTTTCAACACCCTCGTGTTACCGCTTTTTATTTATTGCCTATTCTTTTTTGATAGGAGGGTATGATGTGAAATACCACTACAATGATGCTGAGATATTTCCAAAACTAGGGAGTACCCCGGAAAGAGTAATGGTGAGGTTCGATCCCTGCTGCAGACACCTGCGGTCCGGAGTTTTGCCAATATCTCAGCACCATTGTGTTTGTCCTTCGCATTATACCCTCATGTTAATTTATCAACAAACCAGGATACTGATTATCAATGCTGAGGTAAAATGAAGGGTGATTTTCAAAGACATTCTTTGTATAGCTAACTTTCACTACAATGGCCTGCGGCGCAACCGTGGTAGGTACACTGTTTGATGTAGAGCAGTGCTCCCTCCTCCGAGCAGAATCATATTGAGGGTACAGTGATTTTGTACAGGAATCCAGAATATGATATAGAAGTGTCAACAATTTAGTTTTCTTGGGAGGAACTCAATCACCGGTTGGTAAACATCGCTGCGATCGACGAAGTCAAGCGCCTGTTCGAGGTAGGAATTGAGAAGTGCTAGAAAAAGCTTTCTTGGGAATCCAGGAAAAAATGTTTACCGATACCAACACAGAAGTTGAACGGGAACGATTTTAAGTTAGATTATTTCTAAAAGCGGAAAATTCAAGTGTCAAGTTTATAACCAGGCCAATTTTTTTTTATTAAGCCGTAACTAGTCTTAGCGCTTAACCGTAGAAGGTAGTAGCTGTTTTCAGACACTACACAGTTGTTTAACGAAGATCGTCTTTCTCGTAGGCCGTATTTACGAAAAGGGCCTCCATTTCATTTTGAAAGTTATGTCTAAGTTGGACGAATAGTGGCCGTCTTTCGGGAAACCGATGAAAGCACTGTTGCATCAGATTGTATCTGAAAGAGAAAAAAGCGATTTTCGTTGATAAATAAGCAAGAAGAAAAGATGTTTCAGTATGAACAGTGATTATTTGTTTGCGAAACCATCATGAATGTCTCTTCCATAAACTGATGCAGAAGACGTGGTCCACGATTTGAACCGGAAGGAAACAATTGTCTATTAAGCCAAAATTGCGGGTTAGATGACGACAATAGGTCAACATCAGTCCTGCACAGACGGCCATCCTCGAGTGAGATTCTTCATTCGATAAATGCTCCACTTCATCGAATTCCAGCGACTCGGACCATCGGCTCTGATGAAGACGACGTCGAAAAGATAGTCGAAATCAACATATTTATCAGTCTCGTATAAGCTCAACAATTTAAAAATATTGACGATTTGTGTAGTAAAACTGTTCGGCGGAAAGATACCAAATACAACGAAAAGCGATGGCTTTCTCAAATATGAACTTCGACAGGCGTGCCAACTGAAGTGATAAACTCGGAAAATCTATCCATCCTCCCCCTATTTGTTTGTTCCATAGCCACTTATAAAAGTTTGTAAATAATCCAATTACACTTGACCTCGTAATGCTCATTTTACAGTCGAAAATCCTCCTCATGTCCACGTGGTTTGATTTTATCGGTTGCCAGATGTGAGGCTTTAGACAACGACAATATTAAAATCTAATTGACTTCCTTTCACCTCATCCGGTAATGAAGGATGGATAACACAGTGGTAGCGATGTCCGTCAACACGAGCATGGTGCTGGTTCGAGACCGCTCCGGGCCAACCAAGCTTCTCATCCTCCGGTGTCAGGAAATTGCTACCGGACTTGTCCGGGAAAAAATCACTCTCTGTAATCCAGTTGGAATGCTCCAACCCGGCTATATCAGGGTTCCAAGGAGAACTGCTCGACCAGCATCCCACGACGTACAAAATGAAATGAAAATACTCAAGCAACAACCAAAGCCACACGTAAAGAGTTGGAAGAGCCTGGACAGTGAATGCGATGAAACGAATCGATTGTGAGAAGTGATTGCATCCGCACAGTAGACGTGAAGACGGTTCAAACAAAATAAAATAAAAATTAAAGTAACTAGCCACCAATAAGATACACCCAGTTGAACAACCCAAACTCATGAGCACGTACTAAACATCCAGTACCTATGAAATTTTGCCATTGTAACACTTTCTCATAGGTGAACCACTAGCTGGATTGGCATGCATTCCAAATCAACTGCGTGGACTGTAGACCTTTCAAATCTTGCCGTCAAAAAAATCTTATGTGTTACGAAATAGTTCCAACCAACTGCTTGGCACTATTACAAATTGAACTCTTCCTGGAGAGATTGTTTCTATTTCCAGTAGCTAGTTCAAGTCTTTTTCCATTACGCTATTATGGCCCGTCACTGTCTTTGATGACTTTGTCGCCTCTCTTTGAACTATTACTTCCCACGTGCTCGAGTAGTATGCCAAACTGAATTGGAAAAACAAAAGTGTAGTTGAAAAGAGACGCACATTTGTCGGGAAGCGTATCTGGGATGTGCTGGGATTCTGAAGTGTAGCACGCATTCCATGATCTCTTCCGTTTTCTGCAGATCGTCGTACGGAACGTCGCCGAGTGTGAAGATCTCGTAAAGAAGAACGCCAAATGACCACCTTAACTCTCAAACTCTTATCCCTCTTATATCCTGCGTAAAGATAAGCAGCTCAATCAAACAGCGGTATATTTCAATTTATTTTTATTTGGACTTAACATCCATTGATGGTGCACACAGAAAAAGAAGCAAATAGAAGAAGAAATTCTGTGCGAAAGAACAACGATAAAGCGCGGTGCTAATGCCAATGTAATTTTCTCAGAAGAAGAAAGATTTGAAAGCAAAAAACTAACGTATCGCTGCTTCGGGAGAATTTTCCATGGAAGGATTCAGGAGCCAGCCATCGTACCGGTAGGTACCGCACCGCAAGAGAAGTACCCGAAAATTTCGGATCGTCTGCGTCCGAGCAAAATCCAAAACCAGAAATCTGTAATCGTCAACAATACGTTACACCTCACATTCAGATTAACCGAATGTTTTAAGAAAGCTGTACTTTCATGTACCTTCATAGTGATTTGATGGTCACTGTTTCTCTATACAAATTGGGAACAGATGAAACAAAGAGCAACACTGAATACAATGCAGGCAACAGTAGCATTTTCAGGTAAACACGAGTCTCTGTCTCACGCACTGCAATTCAGTAGCACAATTTTTCAGAATTCCCTAGGTATTGTTAATAGAAAGCTCATGTAGAAAGTCTCATTGGCTACACGAATGATCCATGGTGGTGATATGAGGTGCCACCGCCATGAAAGAGAAAAAGATAGAACTCTCGGCGTTGACCAATCCCTGAGGGATGCGCCATGCATTCGACTTCACCAAGCGTCTTTTGGAGGTGATTGAATGCATACCTGGCCTTTACAATGAATCACGGTGTCCTGCCGATGTATCGAGCCAATGCTGCTATCCACACAGACAAGTCTGGTACCAATTTACCGACCCCAGAGGAATGAAAGGCTTGGTGGACCTCGGGTGCGAAGACCAGTTCCACGTGTGTGTTACAGGGAGCCTCCGACCATTGCGCCATACGCACCGCCATAAGTATTTTAATATTCCAAGAAGTTTTTCGAGTTTGCCATACGGCTCCTTGAGCTCTTATTTCGACCTATACGACGCCCGTCCTTTGGTCTTCGCTCTTTAGAAACTAGCACGAATTTCACTATCATCGGTTGCTTCTCACTACGTTGCTGATGCAGTGTTAAGATTACTTTTACAAAAATAACTGAAGTCTGATGTCCGAATTGAGAAAATCGAGAAAACACCAACGTAATAAACCGAAAGAGAAGAAGTACAGCACAACACAGGAAGAAGCTAAAACAAAAACCCTCTTGAAAAAAAAAATGATTTCCTTCGTCTCGTTTGAGCAAACAGAGCACACTGAACGGCTCTAGTGGCGATGAATGGAAATTTCAATGCTATTTGCTCGAGATAGTCGATAATTGAGGGAATTATAAGTGATACGGGCGAAAAGGGTTAAAGTCGAACGAGCTTCTTTCAAATAACACTGAAATTAATGAAGGGCTAGCTTTGCTTCGTCGAACTGTTCTTGATGAGCTTTTTTCTGTTCCTAGTGTCCAATGGTTCGGCAGTTTTCGACGAAACGGTTAGAGCACTTTGTGGCCTAACAGTTGAAGTCGCGACCTCAATTTAGAGATCAACGACATCATTGCGTTGACCTTTCTTTGCCTTTTTCTTTCATTTTTTTGACTCCTTCGTTTTTTTCTCACTCATAGATTTCAAAAATTCAGGAAGAAAAAGATTGAAAGGATAAGTGCATTATCGCCACACATGAGTGCGGGATTGAGATTACTTTCATTACATCTGAGTAGAATTCATTTACCACGCTCTGTAAACAGTATACAGGTGGTCTTACTGGTAAACAGCAGAGAAACGGTGAATGTTTCTTAAAAGATTAGGGCGCCTGTTTTAGCCCTTCACTAAGATTGTGAAATTATACACCAAATGACGCTATTTCGCAATACGCTCACCAGATTCGGGAAAAGGCTAGGCGTCCGAAACCATTCATTGAGAGCCGGGAAACATTCAGACCACTTCATTTCAGCTCACCAAGGATTGTGCAAACGATGAAGGGTGATCTAGCTCGAATAGTTCGAAGTTTTCTATCAGGAACCAAAGGTCCCGTATGACGGTGACAAAGAGCGAGGTGACCCACCTTTCATCCTTGCAGACGTAGCGACATTGGATGAAAAGAATCAGCCCAGTCCATGCTTTGCTTTTTTCTCAGCCAATTTTTTACTCTAATGGTGCTATCAGCAACCACTCAACGAAAATGATCTGGGAAGCACAAATCGGCCTTGAACTTAGTTAAGCTGGAACTGCAGTGGAAATGCACAACAGTCATCTTTTATTTGCCGCCTATTACTTTTTATGACAGAAAATAAAAAGGCTTTTTCAGTGAAATACATTTACAATGATGGAAAGAGTAATCACGGGTTCAAAGTTGGCCTAGCGTCCGAGTTTTGCAAACATCTCAGCATCACTATGGTTGTGATATTATTGCTTCCCCGCCATAAAAAGCTTCATTTTTTACCCAAGACCGACTTTCTGTTAACCTCGGCATTAATTGATAATTCGATGTTTTTCTTTAATAAGCAGAGACGTTGTCATTACAGAATTTATTAGGATACAATAGCTGACGCTTCGGCGGTTTCGCCTGCGTCAGAGCCGTTTATTTGTTGTAAGTATTTAAGTTAGTTGATAGATAGCAGCCACACAGAGTAATACATGGGCGATAACTGTGCCTGTGTCAGGTCATTGGATCAGCCTGAGGTATGGAGACAGGTCACTCGTGATAATAAGACACTCTTGCGGTTCATTTTCGATTTTTTGGCATTGATCCAAAACGCTTCAAGAGTTTTACGCGCTGATGTTTTCGAATCCTGCGTGAGAATGGTGACTCCTACTTCAAAATCTTCTCCGCTGTGTTCTTGCATCCCGTGCGCGCCTAGTGGAGTGTTTGGTTTTGATTTCGATCTACCGACTAGGTGTTCTTCTATGAGGAGGCGGAGCGGTTTACCCGTTTCGTCGACATATTCGTCGCCGCACGCTTTACAGGAGATCAGATAGACTGCACCCGAACTCATGCAATCCCTGTCTCTACCGTTAGGGCTAATTATGCAGTTTTTCGTTGTACACAGACAATCGTATAGGTGGTTGCGAATTAGCTGGCGTCTTAGGGTGTCCGGTGGTATTTCTATCACTCTTACAGAATTCTCTAAACCGGCCCTTATTAAGCAACATTTTATGGCTGCATTTACTTCGTTTGAAGTAAAGGGCAAGGAGAACGGAGCCTTGTTTTCGCTAGAATTATCGCTCTGGAGCGTGGTTTTTCCTATTTGAAATGGCTATTTGGCGCGCCAGTTTTTTTTCCCTCTGCTCTCTACCTGTGTACACGCTAGTGGCGGTTCGAAACATATTTCTTATAAGCTCCCTTTTAGTGCGTGAGGGATGAGAGGAGAGGTAATGAACCACCATATTCTTACTGTTTGGTTTTCAATACCATTTTGTGATGTAGCCGTTTTCGGAAAGGTTAATTTAAACGTTTAGAAATGAAAGCCAGCTTCCTTTCGGTTTCCCACGGGTGAATTTTGTGTACTTTAACGGTTCGTTCAATGGCTCAAAGCATTTGTCCATCTCCTCTTGTGTGGAGCAGATGACAAAACAATCATCTATATACCTACAGTAGAGTAATTGCCTTAGATCGATTACTTGTGCTTCTACTTTAGACATAAAGACAACGGCAAGGGTTGGTGCCAGCTGCTGTCCCACTGCCAGTCCTCTAGTTTGCGCGTAATATTTCCCGAACTTTATTTCTTATTTACTGCCTACTACAATGTTCACGACAGGGTATTATTCGAAATCAACCACAACGATGCTGAGATAGATATTCGCAAAACGTGGAACCCGGGCCGTATCGAACCACGATTTCCCTTTCCGGGGACTCACGCATTACACACTGCACCACGGCCGCCCTTGCTCTGCGTTTCTTTCAGTTAGCTTTCCTATCACCATTGCTTCCTAGTTGGAGCTGCGGCTTCAAGGGCACGAAGAGAGGCCCAAACCCACAGAGATAACAATATTCAAGTTGTATCAAGCTGTAAATCACTAGTACAACCTATTTATCACAGTCCAGATGACAATGTATCGCGTTAGAAGAAAAGGATACTAGACTAATGCAGGACCATAAGATCGACCACCTTGCTCGAAAAGTGCGGTCGAGAAAATTTTTGCAACTACCCTACCGTGTTTTTATGCGATATGAGCACTTCACAACGATTATATTTTTGGGCATTCCAACCTAACGTAAACTCACAACTCTTGGCCTGCAGTGCACACTTTCATTAGTTCCTCATCTCTGCTATAGCATCCATGCAATCCTCAAATGAAAAGGAGTTCAACAGGGCCGCGCTATCTCGCCAAAGCCCTTTAATCCCTTATAATAAATGATTACGAAGTCGACCAGTTGCGATCACCAGGGATTTGCCCTATTGTATAGTGACAGATACCGGCTACCACAGATATACGCATGAATGCAATGCTCTTACAAATTTTCATGCAGTAGAGCGCACGGTCAATTATTCAAAAGGAATCAATGGTGCAGAACGCTGTCGAATGAGCTCATCAAAGCAGGGAAGTGCTGGTTTATGAATAAATGGGAAGAAAAGTAATATAGGTGTACAACGGTCCGTGCGATAGAGATCAAGATTAACAGTACTTCGATTATGGATTCATCATACTACGCATACTTAAAACACCAAATGACCTTAAGAAGTAACTCCAAAAATAGTGAGTTGGCTAACAACCAAAAAAGTCAACGGGAACCACCTGCGTTAATCTACAACACTGGCGGAGATACTCACAGATAATGGTAATCAGCTGTATCGCAGCTGAATACAAGGCTCTGGATCGTAGGGCTGTTAATGAAACCATGTGGAACTAAAATTGCGAAGAATCTTGCGATATTCAGGCTATCCAGGAGATATTATAGGGTAAATATGCGGGCCAGCTGGAAACCTACTAAAATTAGCGGTGGTCCTTATTTCAGAAAACGTTACGTACCTTTGCTCGCAAGCCGGTGGTCAGGAGGACATTCCTGGCGGCGAGGTCACGATGAATCAGATTGCGAGAGTGGATGTAACTCTAAACAATGAGTCACACAGATGAGTCAAACTGCAATGAATTGGAGTTAGTCAGCTGCATACTGAAAATACCTCATTACATTAAGAATGTTAGACCCACTGGCACTTTATAAATGAAGGATTTTATAATTTTATATTTCGCATAAGAACATAACTTTTTATAGGACACCATTATTTCGCAGAATATTCTGTTTCTAACTATAATATGATTGTTCATGAGGAAAATTCAAAAACACTTCAAAACGTCTACAAAATGGTGGATAATGTCTAGTAATACTCAAAGCAGCGATCGGAGCCGCCCTGGAACACACGTGGAATCGATCCCCGCAGCCCATGGCCCACCAAGCCCTCCAACCCTCCGGGGTCGGCAAACAGGTACCAGACGTGTATGGGAGGATAGCAGCACTGGCTCAATACAATGGTAGGCTATCGCGAGTCATTGCAAAGGCCAGATATGCGTTCAATCATCCCCGAACGATGTTTAATGAAGTCGAATGCATGACGCATCCCTCAGGGATTGTTCAACGCCAAGAGCTTTGTCCTTTATCCTATAATGCTCAAAGCAGTAACAAAAATTACACAGCGTGTGACAGCCGTGAGGAGGGACGAGAATTGTTACAGAGTCGATGGACTCACAATTCCGTCGCAAATCTCATAGATTATTTTGTAGAGCATTTGATACGGTATAGAGGCAGTCGATTTAGCTTCACCACTGGACACTCTGCAATCGATAAATTTATCACCAGAAACTGTCTCTAAACGATCTTCCAGTAGAAAGGAAAAGCTCTTTCTACTACTTCTAAATGACTGCATCACAAAGCCAACCCACCATTACCTTTCCTATAACTTTAAACTCTTTGCTTCGCCAATTCTAACTTCTCTCTTGTATTGAGAATTAAATAGAAAGCAATGCAGTCACATGTCCTACTATGCTTTTTTGCTAATATGGCTGGAGCACAGGTGAGTGTAGAAAATTCAAGAAGGTTCTAGATGCCTTTATATTTGATAAAAGAACAAACAACCAAAAAAGTGACTCACGTCTCGCTAATTTGCCCTAGATATTTTAACAAATTCATATGTGTGAGTTCCAACAGACTACACACCAGATCGTTTTTGTTTGTCCATCCTGAAGCTCTGAGTGAAGTCAGTTGAGTAGTGGCCCACAAGCTTGTGTAGGTTGCTGATGCTAGAGAAAAGACGCTAACGATCACCGCTGCTACTCACCGAGGAAAAGAGCAATGTGATCATGGTGGCGTAATCGCCTCATCGACGAGATTTCTCTCAACAGCTGATCTTCTTCAGGTTCGTCAAAGCGCCGAGGGACCTAGAAATAATAGTGTGCCCTTGATGCAAGGCCTAGAAAATACGAAATTTCCGATATCTCTCTGCTTGCTCTTCGATGGAAAAGCATAGGAAACCGAAGTACTCACCCGAACTGCTACTGGACAATCCTGATATTGCTTCATTTCCACGCGACCAATCCACTGTAGTATGGGTGACTTTCCTTTCAGCTTGCCTCAAAATTATAAAATTGCAATAATTGTTAAGCAAACGCCTTGGTATTCACTTTGATTTGCACACGAATCAGTATATAAAAATCAAAGCAAGCAGAAGAACAAGAAATCATTGCTAAGCATTAAGCCCCAAAAATTGACCATTGAATTAAATTCACTTTATCAAATCGGCATCTTACGGAGAATCCCAGACCTTACAATGATTAAGGTAATTCAAGTTTCTTGCTGCCTACCAAGTACCTCCCTACTGCGAGTGAAGAAAATCTTAAAACACTCGTGTTCAATCATATTTTGCACTAAAAGACCTCATGGATCAAACAGGATTTGACCATATTCTTTACACACTTCAGATCCACATAGTTATCATTTCGGTTGGTGAGGTAAATGGTCAGTCTCCACAGCTTTAGGTTGCTTACGAAAACGCTAACTATTTTGGCACTTATTTTTTGAAGTGGAGTTTATTTTCATCATGATTATACTCCGCACGCCGCACAGATTTTGTCCTATTTGTTTTGTTTTGATGACATGGGATACCACATTAATGCTATACAAAAACTAAAGGTGTTGTGCGAGGTTGGAAGATGGGACATCGAATCGCTTACCATAGGAAAATCCACATCAAGTAAGGTTATGGCAGAGTTTTAGCGGGCAGGATCACTTCCTAAATCATGAGGAAATCCTTGCAGTGGGAAAATATCGTGAAAAAGTGTACAACGCACACCATGGTCCCCAACGTCTGCGAATGGAGCTGTTCAATCGGAAAGGAACACTTCTGTCACGCAACAACCGGTGAACATCTAAACCGACACTTGCTGCAAATACCTTATGGTGCTGAAACCTTAAGCAACCGAGGTGCTGATGAGAATGGACTCCTAACATTTCGGGTAATGAGCTTAAAGTTTTCCACTATAAATTAATGGATCTATTTCTCATTGATAGATATAAATATATTCTAGTAATTTTCGTCCGATCGATAACGCCTACTGCCATTTAAGTTACATGTATTTGTGACCAAAGTTAAAAACTGAAATGAATTCTGGGTGACCTGACAAATGAAGAGCGTGGAGTAAGGAGGAATGGAGATGCTGAGGCATGAACAACAGGTGAAGGTGGACATGATAAGAACGTCGGCAAGTGAAGAATATTGAGGAAAAGTGTTCAGAGTTCAAGCCAAAGTGCATAACGCATCTGGAGCCTCGAAGAATCGGCATAACTGATATGGCATAAACCCTTTAGCCGCTGTTTATCGATATGCTGCGTGGTTAGGGAAAAACATATAGCAACTCCGCAAATAGGCGGATTACATTCAAAAGATTTGTAAGGTGCTGAAATACTAAAACAAAGGCAACTCTTACGAGATTACAGCTGAATACAGTTCATCTAGAATATTAGTTTGAAATAACATATCTTGATAAAACTCTGTGAGGCAAGAACTTCCCACCAAGATACACATTCGAGAGGGTGCCTTCACCAAGTAGAAACTCCATGTCAATGTGCACACGATCGGACTTAATCTCCCAGGGCAAGCGGGCGACCTTAGGGCACTCTCTGGCAGTCCTTAATAACGACAGAATTAGCACAACACTCAAACTCCAACCAGAACTCTAAATGAATTTTCCTTGTCCAACTTGAAAAGCCACAAAAATGGACGAAGGCTTTATCTCTCCCTACATTAATGAAAAAATAGATTCCATTAAGAAGACAGGATAGGATGTAGGAAAGATAAGAATTCCATAAAATACAGTGCGAAATTCGTGAAATCTATTAAGTTATTAGTGAGGACGGGGTTTCCGAAACAATAATTTTATTTAAAAGAAAACAACTCCATAAAAATTTTGTAACATCTGAGAATGTTTTTTATTTGTTCGCATTAGAGTTGACAGTGATTTGCACACGACGTTTTTGACACCTCGGCATCGAGTAGGGAGGGAGCACATACTATTCAAAGAGAAAGTGGTCGTTATGAAGTAGGAAAAGGTGAGAGGAAACAGAGCAAAGCACTGCAAAAAGAAAAAAACATTACAACATTAAAAAAAGACTAATTTGTGATTTGATTCAGATTTAGGACTAATGCGCTAGAAAAACGAGGATCTTTGACGAGATTTGGTTCCCACGAAGCATGAACGACAACCTCAGCCCTTGTCGTCTATTTTGCTAATTTACATAACCACAGTGACCAAGTGTCTTAGCGAGTGAAGAATATAAATTCGTAAAGAGGTGTCCAGCAGAGACCGAAACTGATGTTGGAGACTGATGTTACCCCTAATTTTTGAAGCATTTTCTCAACAGTTGTCAAAACTCAAGATCGATGAGAAGGGCGTCTTGGAGGAAATGCATTGTGGGAGTAGATAGGTTGCAAAAAAGTAGATTAGTTCCATCTCAAAATCTTTTGCCTACAATTTTGAAGACAGAACATTCCTTCATGTTTCCATCCACACGTTTGCAAAAATATTTTTTTCGAATAATATGCTGGGGATAATATGTGAGGACGGCTGGCCGAATGCGGATGTGATGCAGACCAACGTGATTGGCTAACACATCAAGATTACCATTGTTTAGACCTCATCCCTTCTTCACAACCATCTTCGATTGAGCACCTAGTTTAGAGGTGAGTGAAAAATTTTAGCATGATCAAAGCCTAAGATGGAAGAGAGTTAGAAACTAAAAAGATGCGCAGAATCACACGCGAAGCGGCTTTATAAAAAGAGAAAAAAATTGATGAAAGGCTGTGCCTTCAATGGAAGAGTTTTGATGGACACGTGATATTGAACTGGAAATGAAACTTGTAAAACGAGCCACTGTTGATCTTCAAAAATCTGCACGAACAAAAATAATTTCAATTTGGCTGCTATTAGAGAACCTCCTATTAGGAAAGAGCATGCCACGTTGCGAGTAGGTTTCTTCCTGACGACAGTAAACGATGGTATTGGTTTATTACTCTTTAGTGAGATTCCAGATAGAAGAAATGTCGTGCTCTCTCTCGGCCAGGTGACGGTGCCGATGAGATGAACCTTCTGCGATACATCTTAGTTCGATGCCTAAGGGCGTTCTTTTACTTTTACTATGACGAGAAGATGAACTTTTTGGAGACACGACCTACTAGAAGGAATAGGAAAGAAAATGAGAAAAGAACAATAGAATCTAAAGTGGATCTATTATCCATATGACTTGAAAATATGTAAAAAAAATGGTAAACTCACTTGTAAAGTTTTGGTTGCAACATAATTTCCGTAAGAATTTCCATTCGTTTTCTGTGTTGCCTCTTCACATGCTGGTAGATGAGAATTCCGAACACTCCGACGCTGATGGCAGCACACAAGGTGATCCAGAGCATGTCGTCCATGGCGATGTACAGCTCTTTCGGCTTGTGGTAAGGTCGTGCGGCCACAAGAGGTGCTGAAACGCTTCAACATCCAAATGACTGGGAGTTGCAAGAAGTTGTATAGTAGCCAATTTTGCCTCGAGTTCATGCGAAAAACAACGTTGGATATCTAGAACTAGGCTGATTGAATAAAACTAAATAGATATAGCAGTAAAATTAAAGCGCAAACCATTCCTTGGTTTGAACAAGATATTCGCAGCAAAATATGTACAACGTTACTAAAGGTATTTTAGAAGAAGGCTTTCCCACCGCTCATCACAGCTCGCGGCAACTAATCTGGAGATGTCTCACGACTTACTGCACGGTTTTGATAATTCTGTGCTTGATTTAAAAAAATGCCTAACAGAATAAAATTCAACGCGATTTGAATCTTTTCAAAGATTAGGAATTTATAACGCTACCAAATGGTATCGCCGATTTGCATGATGTAGAGAATTTGTTCAGGTAGAACGAGTTGTCCTGGACGACTTGCCAATCCACACTGGTGTTTAGAAAGCCATGTTGCAGTAGAGGCAATGTGATCGTATCGTAGACCTTTCTCAGGTCTTGAGAGGAGATAAAGTGAACGTAGTTCTGAAAATCGCTGATGAGTTGTTTCGTTCAAGCAGTGCTTATTGAAACTACCTTCCCAGTGAGAGCTGTAACGAAATTTGCGTCACAGCTAGTGTTTCTGATTAGTATCGAGATGAATGCATGCGATAAGTGAAACGTGCTGGCAACGAATTGTTTAACAATTTTTGCCGCGGCTTCACCACACGTTTCTTCAGGAACCAAGCCAACTGAAAAAAATACTTTCTTCCATGTTGTCCCACAGGATGAGTCTAGAAATTTGACTTAAAGCCTCAGGCCATTTTCCGTTTTATTGAAAGAAATTTTAATTGAGTAAGAAAATTGAAATCGCTTCGCTTCTGGTCCAGAATACTGAAGCTTTCGAAAAGGTTGACTCGTGGATTAAACTAACTTCTCAACAGTCCGACTAGTGAAGTCATCAACGACGGGTAGAACATATTCCTGAAATATTTCCAAAATTTGGACCCTAGTCCAAATTCGAACGTACGATTAACCTTTCCGGGGGCTCACATTTTAATCACTGCAGCACCGAGGCCCTTGCTTTGCCTTTCTCTCAGACCGGGGTCCTTGCTTTGCCTTTCTCTCAGCTAGTTTTTCTACCTAACAGTGCCATTAACAATCACCCGTCAATGGGATTGATCTGGAGTGCACAAATCGGCAATGAATGTAGCTAAGGAAAAAGGCAAAACAAGGGCCTAAGTGGTACACTGAGTAACACGTAGGCCCCGAAAAAGGTAATCGCGTATTCGAATCTGGCCTGGGCTCCAAGTTTTGTAAACATCTCGGCATCACTTTGATTGTATTTCACATAGCACTCTACCATGAAAAATAATAAGCAGTAAATAAAAAGTTATTTAAATTTTTATTGATTGAATAGTAAAAATTAGATGAACATCGTCTACATTAGAGATGGAACACAGATTCATGCAGGCCGGGTCAAATGTAATGAAAATGGGGAGTATCATTTGTACTACATGTCTCTAAAATCGCTTGTTGTTTCATCGACCATCGAACGATTCAAGTAACCCTAATAATGTGGCTAACCATTCGTCCTGATACAGGAGCTACCCAGTGTGACCTGTCTCACTGAATTCTGCCGACTCACTGAAAAAGATTCAATCGATACGACGACGATGACACCACATCGAGAATACGAAGCACTGTGGATATCAACTCGGATCATTGACTATGAGAAAGACGAAAACGTCGAAACGTTAGCCGAGTAAATATTTGGTAGCAACCTCGTGTTAGCATTTGAGATAGTTCATGTGAAACAGTTATCTTCAAAGCGCACGATATGTCCAGCACACTTAATTTTCACGTGATAGTCGACGTAGGTTGGAACTTCAGAATCATTTTCACACTAGTGTGACATGAGATATTCCTATGATCACCTATTCAGCAGCATATTCCATAATGCTGGCCATAATGCTGTGATTTTACTTTTAATACGTGGTATTTAATCTTGTGAGACGAGAGTTAGGGCAAGTCAAGGAATTGGCACGACTCTGGGTATTCTTATTCTTCTTCGGTACTTTCCTTTTTCTGTTCCTAGTTTTATTCGGCATAGCTTGGAAGTACTACTCACATAGCTCACTGCTTAGAACGCATCTAATTAGGTGGCATCACTTTATACTCGTCCCACAGTCCCACTCGTAACAGCATGGCTCTGAGGATGCCCAAATCCACGAAACATCAACAATCGACCAACAACAGCAACAACAATAGTGACAATGGAAACTGATACCAACCTCGCATCAGCTCAGCAAGATCAGTTCGTAAGAACATATAAATAAACATTACGTCTTAAGTGTTCCAATCCCAGTACTCTATTGATTGCACATCTTCCCTCTGTAGTGAACATGCTCACATTACTCTCATCACGTTTGTTCTTCGCAAAGTAAATTCTTTCCCACACACATGAGTTCTTTCAGTAGACCGAAAATTATAACGTTTTTTTTGGCTCTCATCTCTCCACTTTCTACGACAGTAACAGCTACACAATTTTGTAATTGTGCAATCAATATATCAGTTGTGTGAGTACAGCAAAAACGCTCTTGTAACCGGTGAGTTTTCTAGCAGAGAATATTTAGAAACCTAGCGATAGAGAAATTCACTACAATATTTAAGTGTAAATGATTTCACGGTGAATTCGCACAACATTTCTCCCACCCTGACAACACCCGTTTTCAGTGAACGAGTGGCGGTTGCAAGCCATAAATGAAGGAGTCAAAGATTAAGAGGAATATTCTAAAAGCTTACTTTTATTAGACCTCGGCAACAATAATCAATAATTTCTTTAAATAACTGAGTTAAGATGAAGTTTTCGTTTAAGTTTGTTCAAAATTTAAGTTTGTTTAAAACTCTTTTATTCGACTAACATTTAGGCGCCTTCGCCTTGCTCAGAGCCACGATGAACAGAGTCGATGGTCCACAGGGGGACGTCCTGGCAATGTCGGTGACTGTTTTTTGTGACTGTACTGAATTAAATTAAGCTACGAGAACACCACTCGAATAGAGCTCCCACACGCAGCGGTTCACTTTTATACAGGATGGATGTTGATCTATTGCCGTTGTCCAATTTCGCGTGTTTTTTCGAAGACAAATGTGTCCTGTTGCAAGCGGTACTAAGAGAGCACCGCCGAGTCAACTTCCCATTCGAACGGTGGTCCCTCCATTAGGTTCGATTCGCTGCGATAACGAACACCCACATCGCGACAGCAACTTTTGGTGAACATCGACTCGGATCAGCGTAGCTCTGAAGAGCGTGGAGGCGCCGAAACGTTAGCCAAATAAATGTTTTTTATACCAACATCGTGTCAGCTCAGTGGTGTGAAGAAATTATTGATTAAATGGAAGGTTATTGAGAAATAGGAAACTCGACAATCTATGTTGCCATACTCGCTTACTTTTCTCTTTGACGTAAGCTACGCACTGTAGTCCAAAACTTGTGGTTTGGTCTCCAACGAACGGAATAGTGAGGTCTAAAAAGGAACCAAAGAGTGACTCAAAAAGTTCTTGAAGGCAGCTCATAGCCCTCATAGCCAAGCTCATCTGAAAGCTCTTTCTTGAAAAATTATAACTATTTGACATGGAAATATGATGTTGTTTTGACACGAAGGTTGTAGATGGCACTACGGAGGCCCGTTGCGCTAGAAGTGATGTGCTTTCTTCTGCGTTTGTTACTCTTTCTTTAGTAAAAACAAGATCAAAATCTTCCAAAGTTTACATCTTCTATTAGGCTTATATGAAAGGAGCTGCAAAAATTTATAGAATTTTCCATGTCTTGTTTGTGTTTTGTTGTCATTCCTCTATTTGAAAGAAACGGTGCATGACACATGCTGCATGAGTTCATTTAATGTGGGAAGTCGGATGGTGAATAAATGATGTCTGCTATGCGCGTGAATAACTTCGCTCGGTACTGCTCGGTTCCAAGTACTCAGATTGTGCTCTGAGGCCCACACTATAGTCCACCCCTAGTTTCAAACTGTTACTTTCTCAATAACGTTTTTTTTATTTGTGTCAATATCTTGTACACTACATAACTCCTATGTACTCTCCATAACTCATAAGCACCTCTAGCTCTTTTGAAGATAGTCTAAACGCAAACAAACTGTGAACAGAGCCATTGTGAGCGAATCGAATCGCGAGAAAATCGTTGTACATCTTATTGCTTGGAACGTGACACATGTCGCCGCTGACCGCGTTCTCCAGAAGACGAAGGAGAGTTCCGAAATCGAATTCCGTCATGAACAGTTCACTACGAGCCAAAGGCTTGGCCTGGTAGACGGAGCTGGGAAACTCTGCAATTATACACTAGTACTCTCGAACATGAATGTCCTTCAATATATTGTTAGATTTCGGAAACTTCACTGCAAGATTGCTCTCAAACGTTAACGAAATGTCTGATAGAAGCGGAAGGAATTGCACGCAATATTGGATAAACGGCCGGATCTCCATGTTCATATCCTTCATTCTTCCCTTAGACCGATTCAGTTGATGTTTAGTAGGAAGCCAATTTTCTTTGAGTCGTTTTGAATCAATTCTTTACTGTGCGGTTTCGATTGTGCCAAAATTCTAACACATTTCTTAAAAGATATTAACTGCTTTCGATACGAAAAGTTTTAAAGTTTCATTATTCTGCAGGACCACATTCCTCCATGTTCAACACCCTCGTTTATCCTTAGACAAGAAATCGTTCAAGTACGGGAATCTATCTGACTGCAACGAAGACGTGGATGCTCATGAAACAACACGGAGAGAACTACAGGTCATTGCAGTTCGGATTCATTAACTGACACTGTACAGGCGGAACAAGAGGAGGGCGGAAAAGGAAAAAGCGTTTGTGACGTTCACCCTTAATAAAAGCAAAGCAGCTTCTACTGCAAAAAATCGTAAATTAGTGCTCAGCATTTTCATAATCGAAGAATGAAGAATGAGTGTTAAATTTTTATTTACTGCCCACTACAATTTTTCGCGCCAAAGTTCAAAAAATGTGATCAAAAACTCTCTTTTCGAAGCTCGGCACGATAGACTCGTAATTCAAATGTAAATATCTAAGAAGAATTTTTTTTAACCATCAAACACCCAAACAGTGAACAGCAATGGAAAAAATTCTTATGTTTGCTCTAGCACGTCGGTAAGAATAGATCGCAGCTTAGCAAAGCAATAAGAATAACGGACGGCAATTGAAGAAGACTTTGCGAATGTTGGAATTCGACACGTTCACCTCCTACGCTTCTTAGCTGCGGTGGACAACTCACCGAAGTTCACTGGCTTCTGGAAATCTGCTCGTATTCTAGTGATATTCATGTCGTCTGCCACCGAGTAAACGGGAAAATCAGCGGCGAGCTCGAACTCGGTGGTGTCCAGCTGATGAAACAGACCAAACTTTTGCTCGTTCTCCTGAAATTTAGTGCCTGAATTGTTAACCACTCATTTGCCCAATGTGAGTGGAAACTTCAAACCTCGTACATTTCTAATTGCGTTCATAGCATCTGTGACGTTCCGAGGAATATAATCAGTGAGCACAATCACTTGCTTCTTACGTATCACCGTGAGTGGATGCTGGTTTTCCTCGGCGATCTTAATTTGCTTTATGATTTATAGTGAACTTTTTCCACAATAAATAAAACATGTAGAAGATTTCTAAATGAATAATAAGAACGACTAGTATAGAACGAATTACTTGGATACTTCGATGGCCGTTTTCACTGGTTGTGCAGGTCCCAACATATTTTGTACTTTTTCGAAGTTTGCTGGCTTAGCTATTGTGGTTCTCTCGAGTTCAGAGGTTAGCCCAATCAAAGTCTACTTAGGTCGTCTCCATTACAAGCAGTCGCCGCTTTGTGGATTAGAGGAAGATTTGCCCCCATACGACTGGTTTGATACCGGGATTGTGGTGGATCCCAGTATTGGTTTACTTCCGGCCGTGCTACCTGGTGGAAACACCAGACTCCTTCTCATCTTGGCAGACCCTGCTTGGGAGGTGAATCTTGCCGCTGCACATGCAGTTTCACATCTAAAAACACCTCTCAGCCACGATGAGGAAGTAAACCTTTAGGAAGGTTACCTGTATCACCTGTAGTCCGTTGATCGTCGAGTGAACCGAAGGGGCGCAAGAAGATATTCCATCTTTCTCTCCCGTGTGCAAGAGTGGCCTAGTGGGCTTTGCTGGTTATAGAAACTCGTTGGGCATCATATCTTTGTTCTAGGCTTTTCGTGAAGAACTCTGACCATCGAGTCGGTGGTGGTCTTCCTGCAGTGCGTTTGACATCTCGAGGAATCCAGTCACTAACGGCTCCTGTCCATTGGTTGTCATTCATACGCATTACGTGTCCGGCCCACCTTATCTTCGACTGTTTGGCGTACAGAACGGCATCTTTGATTTTTGATTGATGACGCTGATTGGAACCTCGGATCCCATCCTTTACTTGTGTGGAACGGGATACTCCTAGCATCGTCCTTTCGACTGCGCGTTCTGTAACGCTAAGTGACCTTTCATCCTACTTACTCAGCGACCAGGTTCCCGACGCATACTTTTGAGAAGGAAGTATCGTGGAGTCGATAGGTGGGCGCGGAGTAGGGTGTTCTTTGTTCTCTTCACTACATCCTCGATGCTCTTCATAGCTCCCCAAGCTGCTCGTTTCCTTCTGCTCAACTCTGCAGCTAGGTCGTTCATCATATTGATTTCGCGACCTAAATAGATATAACTGAAGCATTCGGAGGTATTCGTTCCGTTGGGCGTGATTGGGGCATACGAAACCAATCCGTTCCTCATAAACATCGCTTTTGTGAGATTTTGTTGGAAACTAGTCTTTCCACAGGCTTTATCAAAGCCGGAAAGCATTCGTTCCGCTTGGCTAATGTTTGATGTTATAAGGACGATGTCATCAGCAAAGCAAAGATGGTGTAATTGCCGACCATCGGTTTTCACTCCCATGTTGTCTCCTTCCAATGTTCGCTTGACGTTCTCGATGGTGGCGGTGAATAATTTTGGCGGGATGGTGTCGCCTTGCCTAACTCCTCTTTTGAAGTCAATGTTAATGTATACTTCAATGAGTCTTGTTATCGTGTGGATGTGGTCCATCGTACTAAATCCTTTTCGAAACCCTGCTTGCTCACATGGCTGTCCTTCGTCCAGTGTTCTGTCAATGCTGTTTAGGATGACTCGAGTGAAAAGTTTGTAAACGACAGACAGCAAGCAGATTGGGCCATAGTTGCCGATTTCGCGTAGGCCACCCTTCTTGAACAATAACACGGTCTTCCTGGTCATCTACTGAGTAGGAACCTTGCATTCAGACAGGTAATCTGTGAAGAGTCTAGTCAGTGTGTTTACGAGGACTGGCGAAAGGTTCTTCAGGTGTTCTGGTCTTATCCTGTCCGGACCTGGTGCTATCCGATTTTTCACCGACGAAACAGCATGTCGGATTCTGGAAGGGAGAACCGGTGGTAAAACATATCCATCCTTATTTATTTCATATGACGGAAGCTGGACGTGGCTATCAAAGAGATCTAAGTAGCATTCACTAGTGATTTCTTCCATTGCCTGGTCCCAATGTGACATTGTTCGGACATTCTTCCTGGTCCAATCTTGGCGTTAAAATCTCCAATCATAACCTTGAAGAATGTATGGCTTTCTGTGTTGAAATACTCCAAGTCCGTATAGAACGCTTCGATTTCTTCTTCGTCATAGTTTGATGTCGGCGCGTAAACGACGAATATTTTCAAATTCGGTGTTAACTCGCATCCATTCAATCGTAGAGGTTCTATTAGAAATGTTAGTTGCTCGAATAGGTCGATGTTCATGTACAAACTCGTGTTGACGAGAACGCCGAAGTCGCTGACTACCCTACGGCGTTGAATGGGTGACGTCGTCTCGTCACGACTAAGCCGATGACGTCGTACTTTATCCTTCTTGCTTGCATGATCAACTCTTCTATTGAGGACTTGGATACAGGTGTACGTGCATTGTAGATACAGATCGTCACCTTAGATCTTTGCAATCCAGGCAGCTTACATTGGCCCTGAGGATTTAGCAGCCTCTCCGTACTCCGTCCTACCCAACTCTGCGAAATTGGGGTCTCTTTCGGATTCAGAGCAATGAGGGGGCTGTCGCTGTCGAATGGGGCTCTTTCGGAGTCAGAAGAATGAGGCCCCTTTCTTTTAGTTTCTAGCATTTTTTTAATACCCACGCATAGTTGCTGGGGTCTGAAGGTGGGGCTAGGTATGCTCACGGGCACCTTGCCAGTCTCCCCCAGATGGACATGAAGCTTATTTGCTGGAGGCGGCTCCTAGTCGCCTCCCATATACTTCGTTGTCACTTGATTGTAGGCCTTTGGCCAAACTAACTGGTACAATATAATCCGCATAAACTAGAACGCACCCACACACGAGTGCATGAATACGCTTCGTAAATACGGAAAGTATGTGCCAAATCGGCGCAGTAGAAACAGGCTGGAAGCCTACTCTTGGATCCGTCTGCGTTTGAGGGAACGAAGGTCGCTTTTGGTCCGCGACTAACCCCCTATCCGCCACCTGGGGCGCTCCGCGTAGCCTCGCGACTAATCGGCTCGAGACCCCTCATGTGAGGGAGATCCATGTGTTGGGAAGATAGTACGAATCATTGCAGGAAACTCTCGCCATTCCGCTCTATGAGTTCTCTTATTTTTCCAGTTTTTTTCTGGAAAGCAGAAGTTGGACAGCCTACGAGAAATCGGGAAGCAATGCTGGTGAAAAACAAAAATACAGTCGTAAAGATTCTTCCTCTTAAAAGCTCACACTCTTTGGTGAACTAATCTCATGATCGAACCGCTTTATCAGCATCCAGCGACTTTTCGGTTTTCTAGGAACAATTGAAGTTCCGTCTATGCTTTTTTCCATTTAGTGTTATCAGCAGAGTTGCGTGCTTGTCGTATAGTGTCCTTGTCATTTGCCTCGTTCTATTGCGGCAGTAGGCTATGGAGGAAGGGGATTCATGTGTCCTGACTCCTCATTGAAACTCTGAATATTGGTTTCGCGCGTCTTTCCATGGAATCCGAAATAATCGTATTTGATCGTTTCTGGATTTTCACTATAAACAATTGTAAGCCTTTATACATCAGAGAGGACGATTTCTGCGATTGGTTGATCGATAACTAGTAGAGGACTAATTAACAGGCGATCTACATATAGTTGATATTTGATCGGCCCGTCCTCACTGGTTGTGCGGGCCCCAGCATAATCACCATTTATCGGAGATCTGCTGGTTAAGTCATTGTGGTTCCCTGGAATCCCGAAGACAGCCTGGCCAAAGTCTGCCCTAGGTCGTCACCGCTACAGGCAGTCGCAGCCCTTGTGGATCAGAGGGGGATTTGTCACCATGCGACATTGATAGCAGGACTGTGGCGGATCCTGGTATTGATTTACTCTTAGCTAAGCTTCTTGATGGAAACATAGGACTCCTTCTCAGCTTGGGAGACCCTGCCAGGGGGACTAATCCCCTCGCTGTACATCGCAGTCCGACACCCAGGAACACCATCCAGCCACGACGAGGCGGTAAACCGTTGGGAGCGATCTACATATAATAAGGAAATAAATAAGCAATATTTAAATAAATATTTCCTTGTATCAAATAGATGAATGAAACTAAGTAAACGAAGAAATATTCGAATAGGAAACCCACGATAGCGTAAAAGCCTTTGATGACTGCACTGAGTGAGGCGGCTGGGTCATCATACTGCGTTGAACCGCTGTTATTGGTTTTAGCACTGTACCAGAACTGCCGCATCTGATCCTCGTCGTCGAGCCATGTTTCGATCTCGGCTTCGAGTGAGTCCGTGTCAATGCTGATGGAGATGTTCGTGCCAAAGTTCAGCTTGTAACTGGTCACTTCGTGCAGTGGCATTAACTGGAATCAATCCTGGCCTCGGTGTGCAAAAAAGTAATACGTCAAATAATCGAACATATTTGGGAACGTTAATTGATGAAGGCAATTAGGGAAACAAAAAACACGATGTTACAGATTTTTAAGTGTTATTCACTGCCTGTTGTTTTATTCAAGAGAGGGGATTATGCAAAATACAACCACGAGGATGCTGAAGTATAAGCAAAACTCAGAACGCCAGTTAGGCTTCGAACGGTCGATCACCCTTTCCGGCTTTTCACGTGTTATCCACTGTGCTAACTGGGGTCTTTGCTTGGCCTCTCCTTCATAACACCCTACCATGAGAAGAAAAATAGGCAGTAAATAAAAGCTGAAACATTGTGATTTCGACTGCAGAACCAGCTCGACTAAATTCAATGCCGATTTATGGTCGCCAGATCATTCGTGTTGTCTAGTGATTGCTAGTATCTTCGATAGGATAACAAAAACAGCTGAAAGAAAGGCTAATCGAAGGCCGTGATCGGTGCAGTAAATAACAAGTAAGCCTCCTCGAATAGTAATAGCGTGTTCGAAGTGCAATTGAGGTTCCGAGTTTTGCTCATATCTCAAAAACTGCGTTCATTTTAAGAGTGGTTTGAAAAAAAACTTCAGTTCTAAATTGCGTAGTTTTACGACTGTTATCTGTAGCGGGTAGCACAATGATAACAATGCGATCGCCAATCCTTCTGGGAAGAGGAAATTTATACCGGACATGTATTCACTTTTTTTCTCTCCTTTCTATTAGTTTTTAATGAAACTTTAGCAATTTCTCTAGATTTGTGCCTAAAAGAAGTACATGTGTGAGGACAATGAACATCCATGAAGATTCTGCGCTATTCACTGAAAACTGGAGTCAGGCACTTGGAATGTTATCCTAGAACTTCAGAGTAACAAAACTTATTTTTTTTTTGTGTAACTGTGTCCCCTTGCGATGAATATATTAGTTTTAAAGGCACTCATGCATCTGTATTTGCTACGTCACCATGAGTATGCACAGATTTATTAATAAATATTGTAATTTTAAGAAAATGTTGATGAATCAAATAGTCTCAACAAAACTGACCCTTGCATAATATGTGAGTAAGCCGACGAATCCTTCATAGTCGAGTGATGAAGAGATGGTAATGAGTAGGAAAGCAGACGTACCCATAGTAGGGCACAGATCAGACCACACGGTCGCCAGCAGAAGGCGGAACAGAAGTAAATGGCGGAACAAGTTCATCCACTGATGCAGTACACCCTAAGCTAGAGCTGACTACAAGGTTAATGCTCCAGCGTTAGCACAGAAAGAGTTTTAAGATGATGTAAAAACGATAGACGATATTTCGAACTGGTAAAAAGATTAGTTACGGCGTGGGGTTTGGTCGTATTGTAGGAGTTGATCGTGGATAACACTGAGCGATAGCAATTGCTTACTTTTTGGCAGATGAGTGATAAAAGTGCTCAAAACTGATTGGGAACTACTTGTTGTCTTTATTGACTACAAGTGCACTTTTTCACTCTCCATCTTAAAATCTGGACTTTCTCAGTCACATAGTTCTTGTACCAGCGTCATTTCCCAAACAGTATCACGTATTGTGTTATTCGAAATCAAAGAGGTCCGAAAGTTGGCTTAGAAGGGGACAAAATTGTTAACGATAATCAACCTCTAAGGTCCAAAGCTTGTTTTTCGTAAACTGCTCAAAAATTTTCGGCAGCTAGAATGCTTGGAGTTAGAAATGTGATCAGCTTAACGAAAAGATTTTGCTCCATGTACTTAAAACTAAGTATTGTTCTCTGAAACTTTTCTAATTTTCAAAGCTGTTTAAGATTTTCTTCCATTGCCAAAGGAAACGAGAGCGAAATTTAAGTTTTTAGACTCTCAAGAGCAGTCTCGTCTTCCATAAACATCAACAAACTATTTATGGAGAAATACCGTGTTGTATGGACGAGATACCGTTTGTTCAACTGCCTTCATTTTTGGAATACTAACCCCGACGAGAAAAAGAAACACCCAAAACAGGATCGGTGGATTTGGGTTACAGAAATCAGAATTTCACTGTGATCAAACAAAAGCTTTTGCCATTTAGGCAACGAGATGCAGTTCATAATATTTTTATTGCAACTAATAATGTTCACTTTGAGCAGATCAGGCTGAAAGCCACCGTCATCTTCGCATCAGGTGAATGCAGATACACTCGAGTCGGTTAAGGAAATAGGTTTTCTAGGTTAAGGAAATATATCAAAAATGTTTCGTATGAGCACCACAATTTGCAGAATTGCGCACTTCCTGCAGGGAGTTCATGAAATCCAATGCTGGCCACGTCAAAGTCACAGTTTCGTGGGATATTATTATAGCGAAACTATAACTGGGCCAGACAGAGCTTTTTTCAACAGGTGAATAGCAGTGGGACCATAGTAAGCCTATACTAAAACGTAGATGCGTTGTAGAGATTATAACTAATCCTATGCTGATAATGTTTAACGTTTTGTTTTCTGCCTTCTATAATTTTCATGGCAGGTTACTAAGCGAAATACAACCACAACGTTGCTGAGATATTTGCAAAACTCTGGACCGCAGGTGTCTATGGTGGGGAACGAACGCGCTATTATCCTTTCCGGGGAGTAACGCGTTCACCACCACACCATGCGGGTCCTTTGTTTCGCACGTCTCTCAGCTATTTCTATCCCGCATGGTGTGGTGGTGAACGCGTTACTCCCCGGAAAGGATAATAGCGCGTTCGTTCCCCACCATAGACACCTATGCTGATAGTTCATTTAAATCAAAGCATACAGTTCCTCTGATGATGTATTGGTTCCTCTGAGACAACCACGTCTTCAAACCAAATGATCTTTGCGTATAGAAAATACGATAATCAAATAGTTCATTCAGATAACACTTTAACGCTTTAGAAAGGGAGTCCACAGAAATAGCAAAAGTAGACGGCAGATTGTCCCTTATCACTATCGGAAGCCTTTGGCAGCCATAAACATGAGAAATGGCCCACTATCACGTGCTTCATTACAAGGACACCTTCGCTTGCTCTTTCCGATACCGCTTAGTTCGATTGATGTCTATTGATTTGATTAGTTGCAATGAATCCTAGAACGTTTTCTCGAAAACACCGTTGGGAAACCCACCATCAAAAAAAGCACTTATTTTCCCCAACACTTCGACCGACTTTTGTCTTCCATCCAGTTTTATAAGTTTTACATTGTCCCATCCTTCGAATGTTTTTGTGGATGAATGGATAATGCTGCCTTTAATTCTGGAAATCTATAGAACTTTTCTACGCTCACGCACTGCCCAACTACTAACTTGATATTGTTACAGACAATGAGTTAAATGCTTTCACTCATGGCTATTATTGCTTTCTTTCATTTCTACCAAACCAATACCAGTGTGTAGAAATAAGTGCGTGAGAGAAACACAATTTCATCGGACATTCGAGCATTCCATCATTATTTCCGTATGAGTAGAAATTAGGCCATTACAGAAAGTATTCTTTATTTCTTATTTGCTGCCTAGTACAATTTTTCAGGGCGGGATACTATGTAATTCAATGCCGATTTGGGCTCTCCAGACCAGTCTCGTTGACGAATGATTGCTCACGGCATTGGTCGAGAGAAAACTAACTGAGAGACAGGAGAAACGAAGGATCCGCATGATGTGGTGGTGAACGCATTCCACCGGGAGAGGCAAAAGGCGCAATAGCGCGTTCATTTCCCACTGCAGACACCTGCGGTCCACAGTTTTGCAAATATCTCAGAATCATTACGGTTATTCTTCATTTCTCAGCAAAGGTCGTTAACCTCTTTCTCGTAACGCGCTTACATCAAGTTGTTCAAGGCGTAATTTATTTTGTGTACAGACTATTTCAGAAAATCTGGCACTGCTGAGTGAAGTTTCCCATGAGAGCGGTGTTCACCACATGATTCGGCTCGGTGCGAGAATGAACACCCACACGACAACAGCGACTGGTTTGGGACCATCAACACAGATCAACGCTGCTCTGAAGAGGACAAAGACGTCGAAACGTCGGCGGAATAAATGTTTTTAGGCCAACATTGTGTCAACTCAATCATGTAGAAAACTTTTGATCACTATTACTGAGGCTTAATGAATGTCGATTCTTAAGGGAGTGTCAAACTTTTCATTGTTATCTATAGAAGGTTTACTGGTTCTATAACATATGGCATATAAAATCATATTTTATTCAATTCAAACTATAGAAATCAGACGACCATCTATGGGTATCACTGTGGTTTGTGGAGTAATATTATGGAACTTCTTGAAGCGATTGTCGAAAGAACTAGTAAAATCCTGGATGTTGCCTGCATAAAGAAATTATGACTTGACAAGGACATAGGAACGTCCATTGTTGCTGTTATCATCACTAGTGATCTTTAAGTTCAAGCATGTGTTTCAACTTTAACTTCACGAGCTTCGATAACTAAGAGAAGGAATACAGCAAATGGTAAAACTCACATTATGGGTGGCAGAATAAAAGTTTGAGAAAAGTTCATCGGTGACAGTGTCCCTTCTGCTACTGCAATTTCGAAAAATTTCAGTTCCTCACCATAACTCACTATAAATAACATTTTCAAAGATTACCTTTCACTTGCTTTTTCTTCATGCGTAGATGTTCTTTGTATCTTCTGATGAAGCAAATGTAGATGAGTAGGGCGGTAAGCATGATGATCAGAATAATGACAGAGACGACAAGTAATAGTACATGCATTGATACCTGGTATATCGATTGCTGAAGAGATGACACTGGATCCGAGCAGCTCTAAAAGAGCAACTAGAGAATCCATAAGGGATGACGCGCTTCCTGCTAATCAATGCTCGAGGGATACATTAGACCTAAACTACCATCCTAGATGTGAACGAATGCATATTTGACCCGTAGAATGAATGACGGTTGTATACGGATATATCAAGAGCAATGTCATCCCTCTGGCGCGTGTGGCGCAGCAGTAGTTGGAGGCGCCACTGCGACAAGCCTGTGGAATCGATCTTCGCGCCTATGACCCACCAAGCCTTCCATCCCTCCGGGGTAGACAAATTGGTACAGACTTACCTGGAAGGATAGAAGCACTGGCTGGATACATCGGTACGCCACCGCGAGTTATTGTAAAGGCCGGATATGCATTCGATCACCTCTAACGATAGTTGAAGAAGTCGAATGCATGGCGCATCCCTCAGGGATTAATCAACGCCAAGAGCTTTATCCTTTTTAGTGCCAATCTTCTTGACAAGTGTGCTGTCAAATCGCTGACACAGAAGAGATAGAAAGCTTGGTTATTTCGTGGAAAGGGACCGAACCATGGACCAGTCGAGTGTCCACTGTAGGGTACCTCTAACTACTGCGCTACTTGGGCAACGGGCTGGAAAAACGGCTGCTCGCGTTTTCCGCTTTCTCTCTCTTTCTCCTCCTTTTCTTCTTCTTACTTCTACCTTCTCACAATTCTCTAATGTTGCACTTACTACCAACCTTAACCATTATTTTCAGTTCAGTTTAACCATGAAAATCTACAATTTCCTTCTGTGCAAGGCAAGTCTTGTTTTGTGGTCCTTGTTCCAATGGTGTCGTGGACCACTGCCATTCCATACTCTTCACCAACATAAATTCTCAAATGTTGCAGTAGAATTTAGTGTTTAGTAATTCACGTGTATCAGCGATCGAGATAGCGCCGACTGCCTTCCACATACTTTCTAGTTGTCCATGTGATTTTGTTCAAATCCACGCTCAAGATTCAATTTGCGCACAGTATTAGTGTACATAAACGGATATGACCATGTTGGAAAAGTTGGAGTCGAAGCCTATCATTAAATAGCTTTGTGTCTCGGAAAGTGATGTTTTTCGTCTCGTGTGTTGACCCTCCATGCTCCACCTAGGGCTTCACGTAACTAAACTGTACGAGATAGGGATAGCTCGGAGGAAAGCTTTATAACACCTAACAATTACTTCTGATACTGATGTGAAGATAGCTTCTTACCGCGATATTTATGACCTTAAAAAGGTTATAAAGACGAGAAAGTTCGCTCTTTTTGGCCTTGGGTGTGGACAGAGCCGACATGGCAGAATGTTTGTTCTGGATTTCTTCGGCCATTGTCACGTGAAAACACACAGACGTCCTGCAAAACGACTTCTGCTTGATACCTATTCACACACTTAACTGTCTACGCTTTGTGATAATCTCTTACAAGCCAATGTACTTCGTAGTTATTTTTCCCAGCTCAAAATGTTCAAAAACCTCAAAAGGCCCTTTAATAGAGAAATTGTGATGGAATTTTTATACTTATATATCGCAAAAAGTCCGTTATACAAACCATGTGGAGTTCCTTTGATCTCTTTTAGGTTCTGAAAAGAACACCTGCATTGATTCGTTCGGGTGATCAGCTTCCAAGGCAATTTCTAGATTCCTAAATAATGGCATCTACAGAGTAGCAAGCAGCTTCAATTCATTGAAACTTTTCATTCTATCCATTAACAGTGGAATACCGAGGTAAGAAACTAACTGTTGTAATAAGGCAATAGGAAGTTGGTTAGGTGCAGTATGGTCCTGTTTTGTTTTCTTTCGAAGAAGGCAGAAAAAGGCATCAGAATGTGTGAGGACTGCCATTGGTGACAAATAGCAGACATTTTTGTGGAAATTAGCAAGTGCAAGAGAAAATAAGCAAGTAGAGCTGCTTAGATGTAATAGGCGAACACTCAAGGGAGATTGAAATAAATGTAGTTAGCACAAGAGCCTAATGTGGAAGGAGTAAACTTCGATCTGTAAGTTTTGCCAAACTTATACCTGCTTGCCACAACAGCTTTGTGGCCCCTTAGAATTAGAAGCGAGAGTGTACTCTTTCTAAAAATGTGAAAAAAGGAAAAAGATTCATATGTAATCTTAGGATGGAAAGAGAGCTTCGAAAGCAGAGAATTTGAGAGAAGACAAAAGAGGATCGACGCGTGAGCAAAGCACATTCCGCCAAATTTGAAATAGCTGGGAATTACTACGTGTACCTCATAAACTGCTCTCGATTGACGGCGAACTCCTCAGGCGTCATGTCAAAGACAAAACGCATCTTCATGTCGTTCTTCACATAATGGAACTGTAAAGCGAATAGTCGACTCGGATTTCGGAAAGCTGCTAACAGCATCAAGCGTGATTTAGTAAACAGAAAATTGCTTGAAAAACGAAAGTAGACCAGCAATTTAAGCCACAATCCCTCCGAAAGTAAATGGCTTTCCGTCAGCACCTTTATATTTTGGGCGCAATTTTACACTTTTGATGACAGAGAAAGTTTGTTCAGCAAGCGAAATTTATTCTTTTTCACTACAGCGCAAGATTTCAAAAGAAATACAGACCTTCTTAACTAGCTGAAACAACGGCTCTTTAAGCGTTGTCGACGAGGCATTGATTACGACACTATAGACGCCTTGAGGATTATCGGTAAGCAGAGGATTCACGCCGACTTCTCCAGTTATGGGTTCGACGAAGAACAGAGAAGAGCCAGCAGTAGGTAGTTTTGTAGAATTTTGAGACCTAAAAAGCACGATTATGTAGCAGGAGTAGAGTGTAAGCTGGTGATTGGTAGTCCATTGTGGCATATAGATTACTGAAGCACTGGGAAATTTAGTGTAAGTCTTGCGCAAATTTTCGAAAAGACTAGCTAATGCTAATAAATTGGTAAAACTTCAAATTTTGCATTCCAAACAGCTTTTCTTTAACCAAAATGGTGCCTATATAGAGATCGCAAGTCATCCAACTACCAGCCATGTATCTAATGTGAAGCTATGAGGATACCTGATAGAAGTATAAAAGCTGTTACTTATAACTACTCTACTGTGAAGCTTGTTTCTTTCTGAAAAACAGTCTAACAATACAACCACAATGATGCTGAGATATTTGTAAAACTCAGGACCGCAGGTGTATGCGGTGCGGAACGAACGAGCTATTACAATCTTCCGGGGACTAACGCGTTCTTTGCAACAATAGATCACCCATCTATGTTCATATATTCTGCTTACCTTACCAGTTCATCCATGGCTCACTTAAAATGTAAATATAGTCCATAAAATAATCACGAAAGAATAGCTCTCGACAATTCGACTACAAATTCTAGCTTGTTGTTGCACGCTCAGATTGTACTTCAAGAACCACTGATCTGGCTTTCTATGAGTAAAAAAAACTAATCGACGAGAAAGAGGTAGTAGTCCGTGACTCGTGTGAACAGCAATGACTGGGGAAAATTGTGAAATCAATCTGACCAGCGTGAGATTTGTGGCCATCAGTTAGATGGTGACATCTCTGCGAAAGCTCCAAAGCTACCTTCACCGGTTTCTGTCATCTCTTGATTTCCTATTCCAATCCGATCTTCCAAGTTTTAAAAATTGAATTTATTTTGACTTTTCGAGAATTTGGATTCTTCAGGATTGTTAAAATGGGAATAAGTTTAGAAAAGTGCACACACATGCCTGAACTTGTTGTTAATTTATCACAAGTTCTTACGTTCTTGAGCACTTCTCTATGAGAGAATTGTTCGTAGTTGTCGAAGAACCAGCATCATCACAAATGTGTGGATCTTGAAAATGAAATAAACGTCTCCCGTTTTTAGACGTGGCAAGGAGCGCTTCTAGACTACTTAATGAATCTTGTAGAACGGAGCACGGCAATGCAGTTGCAGTATAACCTCGCTAGAATCTTTGCCAAGATGAGTACAGCTTCACGGAATGAAAACGTGAATCGTATTCTGTTAATTCAAGCTCGAGCTTTCAAATTAAACTGGCTTAAAAATAATACAAATTTATTACATTTCAAAGCACAGGTTCGTATGAGCGCACAACCTTCCCAGTTGATCGAGTGCAAGTAGTGAGGTCCATGCCCTTATCACATCATTGGCGTCACGTGAGAACTGGTACAAAAGCTTTATTACTAAGCATTGAGTGACAAAGTGCTAGGAACTAAGCTCGGTTTAGCTTACACTGAAGTGATGAACATCATATAGAACTGGTACATCTTCATTAGAAGTTCTCTTTGTTTAATTACAGCCATTTGCAACATTTTAGAACATTCTGAATCTCTGGAATACGTGGTCCTCCTACGTGCTAGCTAATGAAATACTAGGTACTGACGGTAATATGATAAGGTAGTTTTTAAACGGGAAAATGAAAACAGCGTACGTATGTCACTCAGAGTGCTTTATACTCTCTAGTTCCCCTAAACAAATAATCTAACTCACGCAGTGAATTTCACGTGATCTATCGAATATCGAACGCCTCGGTCGAAACCTTTACTGTCAGCAACCGGTATTGAAGTGCTTCGCAAACCTTCTTCTACAGAAACAGAGATAAACCTTCAGAACTGCTCTGAGTAGAGTAAGAAAACACTTACGGATTACTGTAACTGTGTTGTTCTGTAGGACAGGAATTTGTGGAGATGATGTCTTCTCATCGAAAATGACGACTGTCCGAATCATACTTGCATTCTTCGACTCAAATGTCATATTGGTTGTTTTCAAACCCGCGTGATTGCTAGGAAGGCAGGAAATAAAATTTGAAAAAACTCGTATAATGAAAGATGCTCGAAAAACCAACTAGAGCGAAATTTCGTTATCTCTTAAAGATAGACTTTACGCCGAAGAATGTGCGGCTAAAATTAGTTGCCTTTTCAGCTTTGTCACTTCTTTTTATTAAGGAAATAATTTTAAGGATTGTGCAAAAAGACAGGTGAAAAATGTCCCTCTAAGCAAAATTGACGAACTTTTCAAAGTGATTAGAATCGACTTTAATATTAGTAAAATGCTCGGCTCCTTCTGTTGAATCTGAAGCCATAAAATCAAACACTCCACTTTCGACTTGCCAGATTGATTTAAGCATTGTCATTTATTTGCACTTTAACTCGTCCTCGTCGTTAAGGTCCAATTATTTCCAAGAACTGAGATGTTTTGAGAATCAGACTCAATCAATGAGGTGCAGCGAATGGACGTTCAGCGTTCGTCGTCGCAACGGCCACAGCGCCACAGGTAGTGGCCGAACTTCCTACAACTTCATGATTTTACCTGGCCAAGACACAGAGCTGGATACGAGGCGGCGGTTTCTCCAGTTGTCGTCTGAACGTGATGGTGCCGTCGTCGTCGATTGAGAACTGCTCGTATTCAGACGTGCCTAAATCTCAACTCATCAGCTTCTTCTTCTTCCACGTGTTTATTAAGAAAAACTTACCGATTATTGCATTATGTTAGTTATAAACCATCACAGTATTTAATGAATACGACTTAAATTCCTTGCAGTTCAAGTGTTGGATATGAATATGTCTTATGTCCTATATGTCCTTTAGGACAGTGACATAAAGAAGAGATTTAAGCAAGGAACAACGCGTTTTAGAAATTACCGCACACAATCGACGATGTTAATGTGAAGCCTCCCATTTGTCTTTCACAAGTTCACCTTTCTGCAACAACAATCCTCGGCAGAACTAACCTTTTTTTCAATGTTATACCTTTTATTTTCTGCCTACTATAATTTCGCGGCAGGGTACTAAGCGAAATACAACCGCAGCGTTGCTGAGATATTTGCAAAACTCTGGACCGCAGGTGTCTATCTCAGCAACGTTGTGGTTGTATTTCGCTTAGTACCTTGCCGCGAAATTATAGTAGGCAGAAAATAAAAAGGTATAACATTGTGATTTCAACTACAGCCGCAGCTTAACTGGGTTCAATGTCGATTTGGGCTTCCCAGATCAATCCCGTTGACGGGTGATCGCTGATGGCAAAAGATCGATAGGACTAGCTGAGAGACAGGCGAAACGAAGGACCCGCGTGGTGTGGTGGTGAACGCGTTACTCTCCGGAAAGCACAGTAGCGCGTTCGTTCCCCACCATAGACACCTGCGGTCCAGAGTTTTGCAAACAACCTTTTTTCATTAGAAAATGTTTTGCCCACCTAAATGAAGTTCCCATTCAATATTAGTATTCATATGATCAATCACTGTGGGCGAGTGGTACAGTAACGTTCAGTAGTACAACGCAGTGATCACTCCTACCCCTGATCAAGCATGCCTCACATCCCTTCGTAAGAAAGAAATTAGCGCAAGAAGAATTGTTTGATAAGAGCTTTCTCCAGCTCATAAAGGCCGATGAAAGCGCACGATATAGATCTGGAACACCTCTACCAAGGTTATCGAAGGATTCAAAGTAGAGTAGACTCGTTCAGCACTCGGCGAATAATCAGGATCAAAAATCCTCAAGCAGCTGTAGAACCTATAAGGAAGTCCGAAGATGATGGGTGAAAGGGAACGCATTGAACGAAGAGGTACTAGATTCCGCGCAACGAGTGATGTTAGGTTATGAAGAAAATATTCGGACTTCAATAACAAATAAAAATGGCCAGCGTGTGTGCGGACAGACATTTGCCGCCTCCATAAAGTCTCGCAACGTTTAAAAGGACAGAGCCTGTGACTCAGCTAAGCATAGTTTTCATTTTCTGTGTTCTGTGACCCTTGTATCTAAAAGAAACCGCTTCTGATAACAGCTGAAGCCACCGCCTTGTTGGAAGTTAAAAACGGAGATTAATGGAATTATTTAAAATGGAATCGATGTGTAGAAATTTCCTTGACAACGGTGAAAATTTTCTCATAGAATTTCTTTTAAATCACAAATATTAACGTACACTTCGGCAGAAGATAGTAGTGGGCATGACTTAAGGCATTTCTTTTGCTACCAACTGCAGATACTCTGCCAATAACGACCTCTTCTCCATCGGATGAATGTGGTACGATGAACACCGTGTCGAGCCCCTGAAAACAATAATCTTCAAGTGAAATGCCGAAAGTGAACAAACGTATATATATATATATATATATATATATATATATATAACCTCTTGTAAGCTTATCAAAGAAAGAATACATATTGATTAGTGGTACAGAGGTTAAAGGAAAGACGGTTTTAAAATATATATATATATATGATGTCCATTTATTTAAAAAATAGGCAACGGAGTCTAACCTTTCCAAACACTGGTACAATATCGTCGGCGTCCTCCACAATGATCCGAAGTATCCTTGACGCATTTTTTGTTGGATCGAAAACGTTCCAAGCACTTACAATCAGCTTAACACTTTTATACGTAATCGCTCTTTGATGAGCGCAAAAATAAATATATTTATAAACTTTGTTTAATCTCATCAAAGAGAGAATACTTATTGATTAGTCACACAGAGGTTGAAGGAAAGTCAATTCCGAAATATTAACACTTTTACTTTTCCACGATCTACTTCTCACTGAAGATGCTTCGTAACAGTACTCAGTATGAGAATGACTTCTATGAATTTGAAAGAAAACTTTCAATGGGTAACACTTGGCCTCGATAAGTTTCACTTCACTGCTTCCATACACCATCGAAGATCTAACGAACGCTCTTGGTCGAAGTGTTTAACTGATTTTAGCGTAGTTGTCACTAGTCATCTTCTCTGTTTCTTTTTGATTGGAAACCAACGACAACGTTTTTTCATGCTTATTTGATTTTTGCTTTGATCAGCTCAAAGAAGCAGTCCAAAATAGTAGTTCAAAACGGTTTCATAATATAAAAATGGCCATTATGGCTGCATGCTAAAATTTCTTTCTTGAATAAAAAGTCTGGTGATGTAGTTTTTCTGGACTTCGCAGTGTCAGAACAAAAAGTCAGAATCTTTATACAGAACCCGAAGAAAGAAGCTGTCGCGGTCGTAAATCGCAGCTTATTCCGGTCTTCTCCGTCTAGGCCAGCATTCAGTTGTGGACAATTGGTGTACGAAACATAGTTATCGATTTAGTAGGATTACTTGCGTTTTAAACCGAACAACATTGTCGAGCTCCAAAATGCTGGTGAATTATCAGGCACGAACATCGCGTGATTTGGGCTTAATTCCATAGAAGGACAATCCAATAATGTTAAAAGAGACGAATGAATGGGTGCGCAGCTTTTCCGAATTATTGTCGTCTAGCAGAAAAGCTGAAGAACAAGGTCTAATCGGGGATTCCAAGAGTTTCCAGTATGGTGAGTGCCAAGTTGGCGTCTCAGTGTGAACGAACGGCAGAAAGCGATGGTAGCAGCGTTGGTAGACACCTGCAAAACCGTTTTCGACTTAGGAATGCTTAGACAGTGAGACACTATCATTTTGTTGGCAAAAACCAAGAAATGTATCACGAAAGAAATCTAATATCACAACTCATGTGGCCCTTCTACACCTCCCTTACCCCCTTTCTTTTGCGGATAAGAGTACAAGAGATAATTTTTTCAACAATTTAAGCGTTTACGATCAGCCTTAATCGGCTCTGGTCGAACAACGGCGTGAATGACAAAGGAGAACATCATAACCTGTTTGGTCATCCGTAGGTAAATTTTAGTAGCTTTAACCATATAAAATGGCTTGCTCAACAGTACTGGATTAACGTATTTCACAGTCGGGTTAGGCGCCCATCAACGACAAAAAGTAGTCCTCCATGAGAGAACTGGGCTCGCAAGAATGATGCAGGGAATGTTTAGAAATTTGAAAAATAATCATCAGTTTGGAAACAAGCGGGGAATAGATGGAAAGCTTCCCACTTAAAGTTGGCTCTGTGTTGGTCTTACAGATGTGTATTATGCATCTAAGACTTATTCGCAATAGAAAAACCACATAGTAAAGCACATGTTGGGAAAGAGGGTGGGGTTTTATTGAAAAATTCTGCAGTAAAAAGTAAAAGGAAACGTTACGAACGATAGTGACCTTGCACTGCTTGCAGCTTGTTGTCGCTGTAGATGTTCTCTTCGGTTTTGGATCGAGCCAAGTTCTCCGGCAGAGCATTAACGGCTCCATCAAAATAAAGAATTCGCCGGTTGTTTTCGTGAAGTGAGTGGAGCATTTGTTGCTTCAAACTGAAACGCAACTACTTCCATTTTCTTGAACCACCGACTCATATACTTTTTTCATCAATGACTAGGACTATCAATAAGGAACTTGAGGAAATGAAAAAGGAAGCGAAGTGCCGTATTATTGCTTCATCCCACAATAAGGCTCTATTCAAATAGTTAATTTCGTTGTTGAAAGCTATGGTAAGTGATATTTCTTATTCAGAGGCTACTAATATTCCACCGCGGCATGCGGATCCAAAATAGCCGATCACTACGCGGAGTGAGTCTCGTGCTGAAGCGAATAGTGAAGGAACGTTCAGCGCATCAAGTGTCAAACAAACATGAGCCAAAAGCAATTTTGAGCTTCCTCAAGGACGCAGGTGAATTCAGAAAAAGGCTTCCTTCTCCATGCTGTTTCAGATATACTTTCCTGATACATGCATTCACACTCACTCCTATATGCGCTTACATGCGGATTTAGAATTGCACAATGATTCGGTTAAATGCTTGCTATCAGCAAATGAACTAAAGAGTGTTGAAAAAGTTCGTGATTGCATCTAACAAATGATCTCCACGTCTACTTAGTTACGATTCGATAGCCTTCATGTGGGAGCACTCATACCGATGGCTCAGAGTCCGGTGAACCACACATGAACATCCTCTAGTTGAACCCTTTCGTTGACTAATGGGTGTAGATGTGTGGTAAAGACGACATCCAAGAGCTTTTTGAACACGAAATTACTATAGTGATGGATTTACAAAGATGGAGCCTTTCGAATGAAAGAGAACCATGTTATTTTCGAATGTTTGTTTTTATTTCGTTAATGTAGTTAAGCAAACAACTGCGGACCTGCGAAAGCCAAGTTGACTTGTTTTTCATGACCCCCATTTTTAAAGACATTATTGCTAAACTTCAAACGACTATTATCTTTTTTCACAATGTAAGCTTATTGGGTTAATCTCATATGGCACACACATTTGCTCCTGTTTTCTGCAGCGTTTGGAAAATGGGACAGAGAAGTGCAATTCGGAGGCGATTACGATCATCCTTTTTCCAACAAACCACCGCTTGAACTCGGCCAGAATATCCTCCATTAGAACCACAAGACCGGCATTGGCGACTTCGAACACACAAGTCACACACTTTGACTTGTAGACGCGTCGGCTGAAAGAACTGGATTGAAACTGTGAGTAGGATGGGAGGGAAAAACGGCGATTTTGGTCCTCGGTCCGGGTTTTTGAAATTTAAAGCTTTTGTAATGGATGACGAAATGCTATAAGGACTGGATATATTACAAATATTGCTTGAAAATTTGAATATGTTCAAATAATAGAGCGTTCCATAGTTCAGAAAGCACTGTGCCTTTAAAAAAGAAAGTCCTTTGCTGCAGACCTTAGGTAAGATTCCAACGCGGGCGACTGCCTTGCGCCTGCATGGTAAGGGCGGAATTTCTCTTCAGGACTAAGTCGTGTCTGGTTCGAGAGTTCACGAGGGAAATAGAGGATCGGAGACCTTCAACACAGCTCATTAACCGTGAAATGATGACCCATTCATAAACGTCTTTATGAAAAATTCTAAAAAGTAAGACCCACATTCGTTGTTTGAGTGTCTCTGAACTGCTCGAGTAATCGCACGGAGAATTGGTCAGGTAGCCACTCTCACGACTGAGGCAAAGCTTAAAAAGGTGATTGTGGTCAGCGCTGAGAAACCTGAGTTCAAAACATAAGGCGCAAAGTAGGGTATTCGAAAATTGGCAATAGTTTCTCAACCACTAAAATATTTGAGTTGTGTAGTTCGCGACTGTAGCAGAGACTTGTCCCATGACCTTATGGTTTGCGTAATTTTTCTAGAATTTTCTTTCAATTTAAGTTGTAGCCACTATAACAGCTCTCGAATAGGAGCATTACGGCCGATTTCAAATTTAACTCCATAATATCTCAGCCTGCAATGGACTTTGCTAACTGCATTAAAAACCGCTAGAATCGTAAGAACTTTACCCACAAAATGCAAGTTATCTTATTCTACCATGATGAAATTCTAAATTTCTTTTGGAGCCCATGACCTACAACATTTTGAAACAATAGTGCAATTGAACAGGAGAGGTTCGTGCAACATGAGACGGTGGTGTTCCCTGAAGCATCGTTTATGCTCGTAGCTGCTGTTCTTCGTTTAGAAATTATGAAAAACTACCTCTTTACAACTTTTTTAAAAATTTTAACTTTAAATATATTCAGTTTCCTTCTCAAACAACGCTGCATGAAATATATGCAATCAATGAGATAGAACAAGGTGTATTCCATAAATGTATAGAGCTCTGAACTCTTGAAAAATCCTAGTGATCAAGAAATTATCGTCACCTGTCGAAAAACCAGCTTCGCTGTGAAAGAAAATGCGAGCAAGCAGAAAACGAAAAAATGTCTCATGGGCTTTAGAAAACCCAGAAAACTATAATTTCAGATGGGTAGAATATGGAAACATTTCCCATGTAAAAAAAGCTGCGGTTCCCATCGCTGTCAGTCGAGTTCAGTACCAGTTAATATGTGCTAATTTAAGTTTGAAAGTTCGAAAACAGCCCTCACAACTGAGCCGCATACATAGTATTCAATGCAAATCGTACGTTGATGTCAGTTGATAGTCTTGCCTATACTGAAGAAAAGAATAAGAATTAGGACAGTGTTATTAGCTCAAACCGCTGCGCACGAGACTCTAGATTTACCTTTCCTCTGTTTTTTGCCCTTTTTCTAGTTTTCCATCAATTATTGTCTAAACTGCATGTACTCATTTCCTCGCAGCAGTTTTTAGACAATAAAATTGAAATAGACCTCACCTTCTGGAATTCGTGGCTTCGCAAAGGAGAAGAAAGCTGTTGAAACGAGGGCAGCAGGCTGGGTTGCTCCATCGATGACATCAAATCCATATTGTCCAAATCAATGGTGATTGAATCATCAGAAGGGAGCGATGATTCTGCTACGATCAAATTCTGCAGCGATTTCAGGCGCGCATAGACGTACAATCTGATAAGGGCAAGAGAAAGATCCTGAGACGGAGAGCTGGCTCTGGATATCTGTGAGGACTGATTCCGAAGGTGGTACACTGCGGGCAATGGTTCAGTATCTTCTTGTGGTTTACTGCTTGAAGTGAGTTCTTCTGATGTGAAATTACTTTTGGATCCGTCGATCTTTTTTTGTCGTTTTTCTCTCCGTTTTCCAATACTTATTCGACGCCATAAACGAACGAAGCTTCGTTCTAATTTATCCATTCTCTGCGATCTTCTACTAAGCTGAAGATGTAGCCTAAAATACTCACCGAAATAAAGACAATTTTAGAGCTGCGGTAGAAACTAGTGATAATATTTAATGCAGAACAAGTTCTGAACTACCGTAATCAGTTTTATATCAGCTCCTTAGCAAGGCGCGATAGATCGGTCTATAGTTTGCAAGCAGGCCGATGAATTCACCTATGTCTCATGCTTCCTATGCAAAGTAATACGTTTCAACGAAGGGTCGAACATAGAAAGTTAGGGTTAAAGTTGAACTTGATGCTGTGCGTTGCATGTAGTCACATTTATTGAAAGCAAATGATCCAAGCTGGAGTAAATCAGACAGTCTAAGAATATTGAATCCTTAGTTAAGGTCTCCAAGAAGGGTTTCAGAATTTGGCTCAACTTTGGTTTCAAACCCTCTGAGGAATGACTTTTTTAATTTTACTCGAAGTTAAACCAACAAAGGCAAATATGGTGAAAGTTCAATAATTGTACTGAAACAACTGGTATGAAAGTGAGTACGATAGTAGTGAAATATCAGCTTTATTAGGATGATTATTATTGGCGAAAAGAATATGCTTATCACCGTATGAACTAACACGGAACGGCTCAATGAGGACAATGTAGTTCATTAGGCGACGCCTTCCTGAACTGGCGATACGACCAGCGTCTGAAAGCTTCAAAAATTACCTTCTTAGGAGCATAGATAAGGTTCAGAAATGGAAGCACGTGGAGCAAGAACAATGTGGAAGCAGCACTAAGAGATTTTTGAAGTGAAACAAACAATCGATAGAAAATGATTATGGGTATCGTCAAGCTTCGTCCGGCAAGAGCTCTCAAAAGCGAAAATAACTCCAGAAAATGCCGATATCCTGGTGCTAGAAAATGGTCTGAGATGACAGAAAAAAAATGTTGGCGTTGGCTTGGCTGAGCAAACAGAAAAGCGTGTAATTAGGGTTTGAAGACGATAAGATCTCACAGACCGATTTGACAATGCAAACATCCGTGACGTTCACGGTTTTCGCTCAACGCCTCCGCCTAATTTAAACAGGACGCGCAATCCGAGCATGGTAACTGTGTGGATCCTTGGCATACATCAATGAAGAAAAGTTATGCTTGCAAGGTGAAGACGGTATCTTCAGAAGAAGTAGTCTTCAAAAATGACTTCGAATGGATTTTCGTTTAATGATGAAAACGGAATGTTGCAGTTAATGACAAGCAAAACGAGGATAAGATGGAGATTAGAGCCAAGTGCAGACTGGAGAATAAAAGGAAAGGCAGGGTGTGGGGACCATCCTCATTAGAAACAAAACACACCCAAAGAAGAGAAGCTGTCACTAAATTTGCATTAGCTCCATAAAAGAATTTCAAGTACTGCCGAAATTAAGCTAAAAATTTAGCACAGCCCCTCCAAGGAAGTTATTAGCAAAAATTGCAGTTTGCTTCATGCCATTGACAATGGCTGTATAGATGCAATGAATGGGCCAAAGATGACGGGCAACACTGGAGAGAGAGAGAGGAAGAGATAGTAGCGCAGTAGAGTGCTGAATGAAGTGGTGGATGTGAAGGGAGGAAGAGTTAAGCGGGTTTTTGCCACTTCTGATGGCTCCGACCGCGATTCTGAGGTTCGCGCAATTATTCAAGGAAATGACAACCGACTGAAAAAGAACAGGGTGGGCGTCACAATCAACTATCCTGCTGTGTACATCCCAGGTACTACAGCCTCGGAAAACAACTACCCCACAGTTTTTCGCCCGTGTCGAGATGTTTCTTGTTTGCTCACTTATCTGATACATATAGTAAAATGTGTCTTGCTCTAAGAACTATTTTTAAAAGAGCACGAAACAAGGCTTAAAAGCAAGAAAGTAGACGGAAACAAGTAGGGTAGACAGAAGTGAATACTAGAAAGGAACATGGGTGTGCAAGGAAGTGCTGATGAAAGAGCTATTCGTACAGATTCTTGATTTAATCGCTGACAAAAAGATTGCAGAGAACGCTCTTTAATAAAACATTTGATAGGTTCACTAAGAGAGAAAAGAATGGGTCTCGTACTATGGGAATTTCTTGCCGAAGACTATACGAGCCGCGATCAACACTCAAACGCGTCGGGCCATGTTTGCTCTGTCAGTTCGTGTTCAGCTTTTTTTCCTTAAGACGTCGGCCTAGTTGACATTTCAACAACGGGAACACCAGTTTGCGAACGACTTTTTCTTTCTGTATCCTAAATTTGCCACATCTAAAACTACATCTAATCAATACCTTTTTAGCGCACAAGAATAGTCATTACACACTAGAAATAATTGTATAGACAAACGTGTAAATATCTTAGACGATCGTTCAAACGTCGTACTTGCCGATTCAAATTTTATGTTGGATTTAATTATGACGATTCCCTGAGTGGTGGAATCAAGCAGAACACAAGTGGCGATCTGATAAAATATTTTTAGAGTTTACAGCACCACCGTTAAGAAGTTAGTTCAACTCAGGTTGAACTCCGTTTTACCGTAAAATGAAGGCATTGTTAGAACTCGGAACACCAAATATAGCAGTATATTCCTACACTGGAGATGATGAATAAGCTGTAGAATAAAGAGGATTGGGTGAGTGAACCGAAAGAAGGAATGAAAAATGAGCGATGAATTCAGATCTCTTGGAAAGTCCTCGTTGTGATGGTTAAAGAGCTGAGCCACATTCGCTCGCTTCGTCTTGTAAAGAAGGAAAACAATATGCGACTAGTTCACACAGATGGATATCAATCATTGAACGCAACACTGGAGCGTAACAAGCGCATGTTTGGAGAGATGGTATGACCAACAAGGAACGCGACAGACTATGTTCATTTACTGCTTCTAAAACCTCCCAATTGTTAAATTCACAGAGAAGAAAACGAGTGCACTCCACTGGATTAAAGAAGGGTGTACTGTGTCCATCACAGAATAAGTTGTATTGTCATTCCCACAGAGGACTTCATTTCCTTTTTCATTCATTTGTTCATTTGTTAACTTAATCAAGAAATTGCAAAAGTTGTATAGGGGCAAAGGTGACAAAATTTTGCAGAATTTGCGTTGTTAAACAGCACTACGAAACTTCACAATGCTTTATTAGATTACCTGCTTTGAAATGCTGTGTTAGTAGTGTCGAACAGCAGTGGAGAACGTCTAATGCCACCTGTGCACAGCAACGTTGACTCAGCCAACTGAGATCCATCGCCGAAACCGGAGGCAAATCCCACATGGCGCGCCGTCGTGTCGGATATCGTCGGACGTCGACGAAGATGGCGCCGTCGACAGACGAAAAAAGAATCCAGCCATCATAGTCGACGACACATCGTCGCATGCCATGTGACATTTGCCCGAAATCCGCGAAAATCGCTCTCTTTATGCACTGAAGCGGGAAATCGAGCCTTTCCTGGTGCAGATACAAACGGCGAGGAAGGCAAGGTGAGGAAGACGATCTATTATGAAATCCATCAAATTTCGAGTGCTTAATGATAAAATGGGCTTGCAGTGTTGACAAAGATAAAAACACTGTTCAGATGATTGACGATCAACCAAGAAAACACAAACACCGTCGAAATCGATGATTACAGCCAGTTCCTAAACACGAGACGAGACTGCAGAAAGAGATATCTATACATACACATTTATATATATATATATATATATATATATATATATATACGAATTTCGGATCTTGGGACTTTTTGATTCACAGTGGAAAAATTGTGAAGATTCTCGGATGTGAAATTTTGGCGTAAGCAAAGGTTTTGTTTTTTATAACAATAGGAGATGAAAAAGAGAACGTTGCGATTGGTGTTGACCAAACCCGTAGGAGACCGCCGCACATTCGGCTCCATTAAGCATCGTAGAAGTGATTGAATGCATATCTGGTCTAGACAATGACTTGTGGAGGACTGTTGATGTGTCGAGTCAGTCAATCTGTTATCCTCGCATAGACAAGTCTGGACTAATTTGCCGATCCCGGAGCGATGGAGGACGTGATTGACTTGAGGTTCGAGATCGAATCAACAGAAATATGCGTGTTGAAAAAGCACCTTTAATCATTGCGTTAGCACGCGATCCTTTACCAATACTAACCGAGAATTTGTTCCCAAATTCAGGATGTCACATTTCGATTGGCGCTAAGATTCGAATTTTGCCCATCATGTAAATTACCCGGAGTTTCAAAAGTATTTCGACATAAACAAATAGGCTTTAGAAGTTAGAAAGAGAGAACCTCTCTTTGCCCTTCTCTTTTTTTAGCACTGAATAAAAAGTTGAAATCAAAATTATTGTCGGAATTTGACACCAGAAACATCCATAAAGTCTTAAAGGGTATCATAAAGAGAATGAGTTGACGGGTGATAGGAGTTGATGGCAACAATCGATAGTACTAGCTGAGAGACAGGCGAAACGAAGGACCAGCATGGTATGGTGGTGAACACGTTAGCCCCGGCAAGGGTAACAGCGCGTTCGTTGCCCACCGCTTACATCTGCGGTCCGGAGTTTCGCAAATATCTCAGCATCATTGTGGTTAAATCTTGAAGAGTAATTTTTAGTCAAAAAAAGAGGTCTAAAGGATCGACAAGATAGTCATCAAAACGCAAAAAATATTTGCTCTATGTGATATTTTTGCTATCAGGAGACATGAAGCATGCTTCAAAATATGCTGTGACACCGAAGGGGCTTTACAAAATTTATTAGTTTAGGAGTATAATTTTTTTGAAGAAGAGTGATATATGCAAGATAGCGAAACAATCGTCTCTCAGTAGCACTCGACGTCGGTTGGTGAGCTAAGAAGGTGCTCCACTCCAGTTTTCTGAATTGGGAATTCTTATGGGCATTACGCCGATTTCGAACGTTATTCTACACCTTACAACCACATTCAAGTTGCTCAAACATCTTCATGAAGGAAGTACAAATTCGGGCGGGAAGTTTAACAAAGAAAAGTTCCACTATCACTTCAATAGTGCGGTCATTTCTCTCTTCTTAAATATACTAATTTATGAAGAGATTCGAGGCTTTTACTACGTTATTTTTTCACGGACCTCACATCACTGCAGATTTCTCCTTCTTCAGAACCGTTTTCCGCGAGTGTTATCCCTTATCTCGTCATCGATGGAGACCAACCGCGCAGATTTCACCTGTATGAATAATACATGGGTAATGACATAAATGTGAGCCCATCCATCGATGTGAACGCAGTGCGGCTGCTCTCCACCATTAATAAGAAAAAGTGGAAGAGTCATGGAAAACGGTTCTCCAGAAGACAAAATTCGCCGAATTGCTAGCTACGGTGAATAAATAGTATAATAACAACCTCGGGTCTGCTCACAGAGAAAACATAAACTATTGATCTATGTCGAGGTTAACAGAAAGTCGGTCTTGAGACTTTTTCCTTAATTTCTGCCCATATGTTCCAAAGGTGTGGAGATTTAAAAAATTAAAAAAGAGTTACTCTCTTGGATTGTTCCGTATCTTCATTACGACCCTTAACAAGTCTGGAAAGAAAGAACTAACTTTGAAGTATAGGTGGCGAGTAGTACATCGAAAGTGATGTCGACCATCATGAGCACGGTGCTGGTTCGATCCCGCTGCGGATTCACCATCCTCTCATCCCTTTGGGGTTGGGAAATTGGTACGACAGTCGTCTGGTAAATGATCACTCTTGCAATCCAAGTAGTAACGCCTCAGTCCGGCTATCTGTGGGCAACAGGGAGTCCAGCATTCAGTGACATTCATGATGAAATAAAAATCCTTAAGTAGTAGCGAACTCACACGCAAAACTTGGATGCCCTTGGTGCATGATAGATGCAAGAAAACGTATTGAATGCAAAACTTTTTGGATTAGCAGCTTTAGCGTATTAAATGTGAAGGACGGGTCGTTTAATTGAATAAATAAACTGTGACTTAGCAAAATAGACGCTCTTACTTGGCTAGGAAGCAAAGCGGACTTTCTTCTCTATTGAAGTTTCTTGTCTACAGGACACAACTCGGTGTTGCACAAAAACACTTTTACTTAAAAATGTTTTAAGAAGCGGAATAAAAGGCGAATCCATTTCAAACCACGGAGACTCAAGCAAAACTTCACTATAAAGGGACCTCCGTACAGCAGATTCCATTCCTATGATGATTCCGAGTAGAATTTGTCATTTAAATTTGTTCACTAGGCTCTTTTATTGTCTGAATGGAACTCGTGAGTTTGCATCAGCAACACAGGGTTCCCTTTAATAGAACAAAAAAGGAAATGCTTAATAAAAATATAGAAGAAAATGAAACAGTAGAATAACAGTGCTTTTGCAATGTTACACGTTGAAGGAGTTGAGTTCGATGAAAGTAGACCTGGAAAATTGAGTTCGCCCACATCAAAATGGTTTTTTCTGCCAAAACATTCCTTCTGGAAAACGACGAAAATGATGAAGACATTTAATGGATGACATGTAGTGACTTCAATGGTAGAGAATCGAATGTTCCTAGAAACAAACAACATCAGGCCACTCAATTGCGCCAATGAACAGTCGACTGTAAGACATCGCATTCGATTTCACTGAACGAGTCTCTCGAGAACCCTCGGTAGACGACCAGATCGGCAATGTTGCAAAATAATTGCGCGACACTGCAAATCGCCTGGCTCTCTAAACTGGGAACATGCCTTATCTCACTGATGAACCACGTATACTGTGATAGTGACAGAGACAAAGTGAATAGAACTCTAGGAATTCTCTCAGTAGCCCTTCTCACGATCAATCCCAACATGAAGAACTTTTCATCTAAAGAGTTGAGCATTGAAGAGATAAAATAAGCACCACAAAGGAGGATTTTGGCGAACCCCTGTGTGCAAAAGAATCACGAGTGCACAAGGAGCTGTTGTAGTTATAAGAACTGTTTTAAGATAAGCGTAAAGGTTTGTTTGGATGGTAATCTCATCACATCGAAGCACAAATAGAGAGGGGAGGAAGTCTTCTCGGGTTAGCTCCTAAGTGGTTATTGCGATAACGTCGTGATCAATCCACTATTTGCGAACGCTGCACGCTCGCTGCATTTCGCTGAATCATTTTCCGCTTTATAGCTTTTGAAAGTGTTGAGTTTTAGATATTGTTTGTTGAGAGTATATCATTAGTAAATTTATTACTGAACATTGTGTCTCTTGCACTAATTGTAGGAGTCAAACAGTTGATGAACAAAGGGAAACAAAGCGTGGCATTTTTGGGCGTCTGCAGAAATGCCTTGCTGACAATCAGCCATTCGAAGCGCTTACTTATATGAGGACACACCGGTATCTGGAACAGACCAGAAAGCTTAGGTTAAAACACTGATGTCAAGTAAGTGAAATTTTTAGCGAATACATTGTGTTGTGTTTAACAATGATGTCACACTGTTGGAAAACACGCTTTAAAGTGGTTGAGCACTTGAGAAAGCCAACTCTCAACCACAAGCAATCACAAGATCTTTTCGAGAAAATACGAAAACCACAAAGGATAACGGGATTTCAGAAATGAAGGCCAATGCTTCCAAGTGAATAAAACTGACGTCCTAAGAAAAAGAGTCTGTTAAAAAGGCTCTAAGATATGCTCCATTGAAAAATCCTCAAGTTCTCTACAAACCAAGGTTTTCTATATGCAACAGTTATATTTTTCCTTGGAGTGAAGATATCTCAGAGACATGATCACTTTATGAACGGCGAAAATCCGATTTCTACGAAATATCCGAGCATTTTTAAAAGTGCAGAAAAGCATGATTTGGTCATGCTCGAGGGAGAAATATGACTAAGCGGTCGTGAATGAGGCTAAATATTTGTTCAGATCACAAGAAAGTCAAACAGAAAAACGAAAACACGCAAACACACTTTTTGTAAACAAAGTAAAGATTTGTGGTAAGAGGAGCACTTTGGAGTTGTGTGGTATGCAACTATCTTGAACTATCTGGAGTAACAAGCAATTTGTACACTTCACAGCTACACGAAAACATCACGCTAGTGATGTTTCTTAGAGAAAATATTTCCAGATCTAATTTGTAGCGTATAGGACAGCAGTTCGGGTTTTTATTACAAGATTGAAATGCTGCAAAACTCATTGCCGAGCTGTGCACGGCTTGTCCACAGTGCTATTTACACTCAGCGAAAGCATCCCCAGACAAGCACCTTCGTGAAAGGCTGCTGGCTGCAGGAGGATTTGAAATGGAAAATGAGTTCATCACAGAGAAACATTAATCGACATTAACAGTGCTGTAACAAGACAACTGGAAGCGTACTAAAACGATCAAGAGAAACAAATTGTACACAAACAAGAAAAAAGAGGAAAGAAGGACGAACGAAACCATAGACCGTGTATATCAACGTTTGTCAACGCGCTAATCTGACACCGCAAGAAAAAAACTGCAATCCAATTCAACAAGTGCGTTCAACCGCACTCGACGGAATCATCATGCGATTTTGGGCTTCAATCTTTCCACGAACACGATCTCACAAAAACTTTCACCTCCATTCCAATGGAGTCATCATTGCCAAGCGGCCAGCATAAATTTTAGAACTCGCATAAGGTCTCACGCAGCTCATGCGACGTTTGCTGGGAGGTTGTCCAATCGGAAGAGAACTTATTTCAGTCGCTTACTTATGGCTATATTCCCCAGCTGGTGTGCTATCCAAAACGTTTCCGTCATACAAGAATGTCTTAGCTATACGGTATCGGTGTCCAAAAACAAGCAGTTCTTCATAGTTGACATTCTAGCAATTATTACGAGTTGAATATGAAAACAGATCCAATATGCACTTGCTACAGAGATTTAATCAAATCAAAATCACTGATGATTCATAACTTCTCCACCTGTTGAAATACACAGTGCGCAATGCACGATGGTTCATGGAAGGCGAAAGCGCTTATATTTAGCACTGCTTGTCAATTTACATTTTTTAGATAGCCCAAATTTGAATTAGTAGAAATTCGTTTTGATTTGAGTTTCCACATGTTCTTTGCACAAACATTAACGAAGTCGAGATAGTATTTAATCATTTCGACACAGATCTGAAAGTTTTTTTTGAAAATGTAGCTGTTAGTAAGCATCTTCAGTGAACGAAATAAAATGCTGAGAAAAACCTTATAGAGTCGAAAGATCCGAAAATTGTTTTCAGATCTCTGCCCCAGCAAAACATCGTTATTTCTTACAATTGGGCGATGTTATAGGAAAGAAACCTAACCGCGTAGTATTTTCTAAGCTCGAAGTCGAGTGCCTTCGTCACATAGACGTCGCCTGAAGACTCATCAATGGCGAAGTGAGCATCGTCTGTGGAGGAATCCTAAGTATCAACTTCGTTTCACAGCACGAAGCTTGTAATAAATACGAACTCCTTAGTTCTGTTGTTAACTTACAAACACATCAAATGTTAGAAAACCTTTAAAATTCGTTGAAAAATCTGTTAAATTGATGCAATCAGTGATCAGTGATAAAGATGCTTTCTAGTCCCTTCTTTTCTATGGTATAAATCAGGTGCGTCTGAGAAATAAACTCAAATATCCGTTCTTTTTTTCTTTAATAGTGCCACAAGATCGTGGGAAAGCTTCCATTTCGAAGATAACAAACCCTCAACGAGTATTTGATGTTCACCCTGTCCTCACCCAGTCCAACCAAACGAGCTTTCACGGTGTAGACGTGGTTGTTAACAGGAGTATCCTAAACAACATTTATCGCTTGGAAAGGAACCACATCATAGGATGTGGTAACCCAGGACTTCAACCATACCTCCATCACTCTGAGAACAAATTCCACTGGAGGATTGACGATGTGCACTTGTGACTTATCACCTTTCTTTTCTGATAACGGCTCACTTACTTTGAGCTTGATTCGCACAGACGTGCTCAAACTTGGGTTACCTGAATTGGAAGCGTAACAAAAAAAGATAAACAAAAGAAAAACGTTTGGAAACTCTGCAGTTTTCTCTTTAGAGTGCAGAGTTCCTAGAGAGGTCTACAAGACATGGAAACCAACGCACACGTAAACTTGACACAAACTAACAGAAGTAGTAACAGAAGCTAGTAAGTAAAGTAACAAGAACAACTGAACTAAGAAACTAAAACTGAGTAAGATATCTCCATTTGTGTATTTTCTATATCAATCTAGACACATAGAATAAAGCTTCCTTCATTTTAACACATTAGCGCCAAGTCTTCGTCACCTATCGATAAAGTAGTTGAGGAATTGGGCACTAGGCGTACTTAGGGATGAGGCTTGCCCTAATGCCTTAGTAGTCCAAACAGTTTTTCTAAAATGCCATGTAAATTTGCCTAAAACTCAAACTTTCAAAAAACTTAAAATGGACTTCGAATTTTTAACTTTTCATCTCAATCGTGGGAACTAGAAACATTAGGATATGTTGTCGAACATCATCATGTCTTGTTGTACGAAATCTTGCTTGCTAATTCGGATCTCTCTTCGAGACATCAATTCATAACCTCCGAAAAGTCACAATTTCTTTCGCTGTGGAGCGAGCAAATGAAGTGACTCCTTGTTGGAATGAAACTTTGCATCCTACTATTTTTTTGACTTATAATGCACACTATAAGATGAGATATTGTTGTTGAGAGTTGAAAGTCGCAATTATTTTCAGAGGCCCATGAGTTACATCTACACTCATCTAACCGCTAAGGTAATCATTGTTTACCCTCTGCATGACGAACCGGTTTCTAGATTCTAGAAACAGTTTTTAATTTTGGCTCATCGATACTAAAGTTTTCATCGAGTGTGTTCTCGCTTCGTAATTGCGATTCTCGGAAAATACCGGTTCTAGGTCCCTTTTCGAATTTAGTGAGTCACCAAAGAAGTTTGTTCCAATATCGCTTCCCAGGTACTACATATTTTTCAAAACATGTTAGGCGATGCGTTATCGAGAAAATAGGAGTAGAAAATCTCCTAAAAGTTGAGAAAACAAACCAGCATCTTCAGCGATGACGACAAGTTCGTAAGGTTGTTCTCGAGAAACTCCAGCCAATTTACGTGACACCGATAACTCTCCAGTGACAGCGTTAATGGCGAAATCTTCAATAGTCCATAAAAACATGAAAACTACAACATTGGTTCGTTTTTAATCATTTTATGCGGCCCGTCTTTCACATGTACTGTGCGGTTCCCAGCACTTCTTGGAATAGATTTGTTCCTTGCTACCACGAAGGTCTTAACCATTTCGTCTGTGGCTTCAACTACCATATGAAGATTTCTCTTTCGCTATGAATGTCGTTCAATGCTGAACGCGTCCGGATTTTCCTTGGAGTCCGGAGATGGCCGAGCTAGAGCGTTCTTACTTAGATATTGCATAGGACCTCAGGGCGAGTTCGAACCACCAATGTGCGCGTGATGATCGACATCCCTACCATTGTGCTGCTCACTCCTTTGTAATAACAATCTTCTTCACCTTCTCAGAACTAATTATAAGTTTAAGACATTGTTATAGCCACTGCTGTAATTTTCGGACAAATAATATTAACGAGTAATCATCCAGTAAACACAACATTTAAGAGAAGAGTTTGTTCATTGCATCGATTTCGGCGTTTCCAAAAAGTCTACGTGAATGACAATTGGTAGACTGTTTAGAGACAAACGCCTCGCAGTGGCTCAACGACCATAAACTGACTTTTTTCCTTCGTAAACTTACTTAGCAGCATGTATTGGCAGTGCTTTACAAGCTTAAAAAAGAGTGCCAAATTACGTGGACCTCTCAGGTATCTATGTAAATGTGTCGTCTCACTAGATTAAAAAAGGGTAAAAAAGATAAAGCTTTCAGCGATGATTAATCCCTGAAGAATACGCCATGCGTTCAATTTCATTAAACATTGTTTGAGGTGATTGAATGCATATCTGGCCTTTACAGTGACATGTGGTGGCCTACCTATGTATCCAGCTAGTGCTGCTATCCTCCCAGACAAGTCTGGTAGCAATTCGCCGAGTCTGGAGGGATGGAGGGCTTGGTGAGCTTGGAGCGCTAGCCAATCCCATGTGCATTGGGGGCACTTCCGACCACTGAGCTACACGTGCTCCTCTTTAGGTTATCCTATTAAGAGCATGACAATCCTTTCTTGAAGGTCAAAGTTTGCTTTTCTTAAGTGCCATTTTTATAAAGGAGCTATGTCAACCTTCTGTGTCTTGCTCCAGTTTGAAGTCGGAAATGAAGCTTCCTCCTTGGGTGGTCGACTAATTTCAGCATTCGCTGCTGTCACAGGAATCGCTGCCAACCCAGAAAAAGTGGCAAGACGGGCAACATTTCCTCTCGAGCATAAAGGCTGGCAGTTGACGGTGGTGACGACCTGAGAACTCCCCTTTTTGGCTGCCTCGGGTTTCCAAAAGGGATCGCGCTTAACTAGCCTTTAATATGTTGACGAGAGGACATTGTACAGCTCTTGAAATCGAAGCCAGACACGAGGTCGATTGCCGCACTGCGTCACGATTACAAGAAAATAAAACGAATGAATAAAGCGCTCAAACGGAGACGATATGTGAAAGAAAGCCATCGAAGTATCTAGGCAAGGAAGATTTGCGCTTCTCTTTATGCTCGCATGTGAAACTGCTACTATAGAAACCTGTCACGACGACGCAATTTCGGACTCGGGTTTCCTTAGCTCTAATAATATGCAAGTTACGATGGTTGCCAAAAGTGAGGTCCAAAATCAAATTTCAGAATGCCTTTAAACAGTAAATGTGCACCTTAAGCTCAGTTCTCCCCAAGTGTTTCGTGAGGTTCAGTTCATACGCCATTAATTATAATTGCTTGGTTCGTTATGCACTTTTTGCGGTAAAATAGCGAGACCGATGAAGTTAATGGAGCTAGACGACCACTAATGTGCAAGCGTTTTTTCAAACCACAGCACTTGTATTTAGACTTGCTTGCAGCCGGTTTTTAACAACAATTAACTGCTCGGCTGACTAATTCGATTTGGTTTTCGAATGAAAATGAAAAAAGTATTCAGGAAGGTGCATTTAATCTTTACAGTCGAAAACTGCACTTCTCATTCCAGTTGGTTAGAAAACATCAGAACATTAAGGGTAAAGGATGAAGCTCCCGGCGTTGATCAATCCCTGAGGAATGCGTCATCCATTCGACTTCATTAAGCATCATTAGAGGTGAATGAATGAATATCTGACTCTTACAATAACTCACACTGGCCTATCAATGTGCCGAGCCAGTGCAGCTATCCTCCCAGACAAGTCTGGTACCAATCTACTGCCCCCGGAGGGATGGAAGGCTTGGTGGGCCATGGGCGTGGGGGATCGATTCCAAGTTTGTATTGCACGGCGCCCCTGACCACTGCTCCACACGCGCCCTTTCAGAACCACAACATACCTACAGAAATTCCACAAAGCATGCATACAAATACCTAATCAACCACTTAGACGCAACAATCGGTCACATTTTTCATTTTTCTCACATCCGTTTCATCAAGCGTAGACTCTCGTTCACCAATACACGTACATTCCACGCTGCTTAATAACAGAGAACGAAATGACTGACTAATAATTGACAATAACTTGTCAGCCCACAAAGTTAGTTGTGGGGGCTATCATATGTCTGAAGAAGGCTTCGCAGCCATATCATGCCTGCATTGGTACTGACCAGAACAAATAAACGCTAATCGTTTTGGGCTCCCTTCACATCGCAAACACTCTTTCGATTTGAGAACATGTTCTCAATGGGGTTGAAAAATGAGGACAGGAAGGCAAACAGCCTAGTTACCAATGATAGCCTGCACCTTCTTAGCTTGTGAAAAGGTGAAAAAATTCGTTAGTTTGTATAAACGAATCTTATTCACTCATTTCCTCTGCAATCTTGATGCTGTTGACTGCCGTCATTTCTCAAACTTTTAATCGTATTCTTTTAAACCACATGGGGCGCGTGTAGCGCTGTTGTTAGAGGTGTTCTGCAATATACACTTGATCTTTGGTTCGATCCCGGTTCGGCTTCACGAACCCTTCCATCCCTCCAAGGTCGGAAAATTAGTGCCAGAGTTGTCTTCAAGGGTAGCAGCAGTGTAGTAATTCCTACGACCAACCTTCTATTAACTTTGGCATTGACCAAATAAATAGTCTTGTTGATCAAACATGAGGTGTTACTTTACTTTTTACTTCGATAAAGCCGACTTTCGACATAATCTTCTTCTTCAGAGCCTGAAAGGTTATATTCATAGACAATTCAGTGCGCCAAACGCTTCAGTACCACAAACAGACAACACAAATGCGTAGAGATCGGACCTGATCTAGAGCCGTGCCTTCACATGAGCTTTCAATGTGGGGTGGTGCATTCATCAGCCATATCTGACGCTAATCAGTGGAGGGCACGTAGGAAACGATGGATTTTACGAGTAGTTGTTGATCGTTTAGTTGCCATTCAGATTTTCATCTTTCTGTATGTGTTATTGACGCTTTTGCCTATCAATATACTCTTGCTGGCTCTGAATAAGGCGGTACTGCAGTAGAAAGAAACGTCAACTTCACCGGAATAAAGAATGAAGCAGCACGTTGTGTTTATTCAAGAACAATATCAGGAATTAGCAGCACTGTCTTAATGCATCGGTAGGTCACCGCAAGTTATTGTAGAGGCCAAATGTGCACTCAAACAAATCTAACGATGTTTGATGAAGTCGAATGCATAACGCATGCCTCAGCGATTGATTGATGCTGAAAGCTCTATACTTTTAAGCGCAAATTATCGCAAATCCAAGGAGGTCTACCCAAAAAATGGAAGAGAAGGACCATTACTGCAGTTACAGTTATTGACATCAGCACTACATTTAGGTCAAAGTCAGCTAATTAACAACTATGGAGAATCTGTCATATCGAATTTGCATCTCTAACCACGTAATAAAAGCGAGTATAGCACAGCAGTCAGAGGTGACCTGCAGTACACACAGACAGCATCGTTGGTTCGATCCTGCACCACTGGTAGGACACGCCCTCTAATCTGTTGGCGTAAGCAAATTGATACCAGATGTGTTTATGAGTATAAGTAAACTGTATCAGTATATTGGTAGGGCACCGCAAATTCTTGTATGGACCAGATGAGCATTTAACCATCTCTACGATTACAGTGCTTGATGAAGTTGAATCCATGGCGCCTCACTAAGAGATTGATCAATGCTGAGCGCTTTACCCTCTTCTTTAACGACGTAATGCAATATCTTCCTCGTTAGTTCCGCTATCTTGGAACGGTCATTCATAGAAATGGTCCACTTCGTACGTGGGGTAGACTGAACTTCGATCTGTTTTTACTTTCCCTTACTATCACGTTAGCGCATAGAACACTCCATGCGCCAAACTATCGAAAATGAGATGGGTCGGGCACGTAAAGCGTATGAATAACAGCCGATAGACAACAGCCATTAGTGACTGGATTCTTCGAAATGTTAAGCGAATCCCAGGAAGACCATCCACCGATGGTCACAGTTCTTCACGAAAGCCCTGTGAGAAAGATATGATGCTCAGCGAGTCCCTAAAGCTAGCGGAACCCACCGGGCTACTCTTGCACACGACAGGGAAAAAAAGAGGATATACTGCCTTCTACAGGTCATACAGGTGATACGACCTTGTTGAAAGAGGGTTAAAGATGGCCTTTCTTGGAATTCCGATATGGTAGGAATACGAGACATCCACTTGTTCACCACATGCAATCGGAAGCAAATGAATCAAAGGGAGGTTTTCCAACTGGTCCGGAAATGATAAAATGGACCGAATGTAAGGACTCGTTGTTATACACTGACTGCAACCGAACCCACGGTGTTGATGAATCTCTTCAGTGCTCTGCCCACCCACTGAACATAACAGTGACAAAAAATCATTTATATTTTCCCTCCTTTTCTTTTAAGTCCAATAAGAGCATAAAAACAGATGTCGTTATCCTTTATACCCTAAAACTGCTTTGTCTTAATGTCCATGATGTACAGTATTATTCACGTATCATGGAGAGTATATTTCTCTATTGATCTGTCAAGAACTAGTGTAAAAGACTGTACATCTCAGTAGCGCGTAACTGATGACAAGGTGGTAATTAGTAACAAGGAGTGAAAAAATGGCATGCGAAGCCGGCGAACTGATATGTGTGATTTGTGAGCTCGGGCGACTGGTAATGTAAATCCACATAGGTTTAAGAGAATAGTTGAGAAAACGTTGCAGAGATGGCCTTCGGATATATCTCTGCACAGTTAGAGAACTATGTTGAGGAGTTTACAAATGTACAACACCATGAAGAACAACTATTGAGAACTTTGCATCTTCAACTCACATTTGATACTACCAGCAGCCAGCGAATAGGTGACATAGGAGTTCCTGCCGTCGTCAGAATCATAAGCCGTCAAACGATCGACAACTGTGTCAACCGGCCAGTTATCCACCACTTGTATCGCATACTGGTTCTGTGAGAATTTCGGTGTGTTATCGTTAACATCAAGCAGCAGCACGTGCAGCTGAAAATGATACGAGCTCGCCTGGCTCAACAAAGTGTGCACTTTCGAAAATCAGCAATCAACATGTACGAATGGCCGTCACACGCTAAGAAAAACGATGTTTCCTTTAGAGCGACTAGATTCTCCTAGGGTCAAGCTGCGATCTCTGCCCCTTTCACTGCACAACGACTAAAATGTATAATTACTTGAATACTTGGATGGCCGTCCTCATTCGTTGTGCAGACCCCAGCATAATCTTCATTTTTTTTAGGGTTTCGCTAGTTTAGCCACTGTGCTTCCTGGAGGACCGTGGTCAGCCAGGCCAAAGTCTGCTCCACGTTCTTACAACCAAAGGCGATAGCCGCCTTTGTGGATCAGAGAGAGATGTGCCATCATGAGACTAGTTTGATAAAAGGACGGTGGTGGATCCTGGTATTAGTTTACTCTTAGTTGGGTTTCCTAACGGAAATGCCGGACTCCTTCTCCACTTGGGAGACCTTGCAGGAGGGATGAATCCCACGTTGCATGTCGCAGTACGACGCCCAGGAACACCTGCCAGCCACGATGAGGTGGTAAACCTTTGGGTGGTCACGCTGTCACGACAGAAATGAGGATTGCAAAATTTGCTTCGCAGACCAGAATCACTTGTCAGTTGACTCTTATTACAGGGTTCTTTCGAATGACAGTTAAGCATAAAACATAACATGCCTTTAACAACACTACTTAAAGACATACTGTAACTGAGTCTTGGTTGCCAGCTGTATCGCGAACAGTCAAATGAACAGTTTGTCGTTCCATTACTTCACGATCCAATGTAGCATTTTCTGCCACAGCCACCATCAACGAGCCATTTAGCTTAAACGCATTCTTTAAGCAAAGACAGTTTTTTTCTCTTCCTTGATGGGTTCAGGAAGTGGTTCTTAATCATGGACAAAGGAAAAACTTGTATTACGCATTCTAAGGTCAAGCGCACAAACACAGTATCGACACTGAAGAAGAAATTATGACAAATCACAAAACAACTTAGAGACTCAACACAGAAAAATGTGCAAGGTAGTGGAAAAGCTTAGATCTGCGCCTGGAAATTCTTTTTCAGTATTTTAATGGGTTTTCAGCTCCCTGATGGGGGGCAAGAGTATAGCTTGAGGAGGTTTTATGCTGCCCGGAAGGCATTCAATAAACGACAGCTATCCAGAGCCTGGTCAATTCGGAGAGCAGCCAAACAATTTCAAACAATTGAAGCGCTCGTTCCATTCCGCTTTAATATTACTATTGCACGCTTTCTGGCGATTTATTGTAAAAGGAAAAGGTTTACTATAGCAACAGGAGATAAATTCGATGGAGCCCATGTACTTGGTATTCCTAGCTGACTAGAAAAAGAAATAACGCACAATGTAGGCAGAAAAGAGCTCGCTACCAATACCGGACTTCAGCACAGAAAAATCGTCCACGCTTCCCAATGCGTCGCGATCCGTGACTCGCAGATGAGCGATCGTCGTCGACGGTGAAAGGTTCTCCGGAATCGCCACCTAAAGTTGGTAAATACGACTTAAAATTCCGACTGGTCGTAGAAGGAATGAGATTTCGTTGAAACAATCTTGTGAGCAGCCTTATATTTCGTATATGTATATGCATATATATTTATTTGTGTATATGTATAAAAGGATAAAGCTTTCGGCGTTTATCAGTCCTTTAGAGATGCGCCATGTGTTCGACTTCATTAAGCAACGTTAGAGGTGACCGAATGCATATCTGGCTTTTACTCACCACTAGCGATGTCCTACCGAAGTATCGAGCCAGTGCTGCTATCCTCCCAGACAAGTTATATATATATATATATATATATATATATATATATATTACAATGCATATCAATCTCCATTCTATATGTCCAATTATCGAAGTGGGCTGGACACATGTGAACAACAGCCGATGGACAACAGCCATTAGCTGGATTTCTCAGCATGTCAAACGCCACAGTAGGAAGACCATTGAATTGATGCTTATAGAAACACTAGAAAGAAGATATGATGCTGAGCGAGTTCCTAGAGTGGGCAGAACCCGCTGGCCAACTCCTGTATGCGACAAATATAATATAAGACTTACTCTTTTTTTTAAAAAAAAAAAGAAAATTTATCCAAAAAAAATTTAAAAAAAAAGAAAAGGCAGTCGTCAACCACATGCGACTATAATCAGCCGTTCTAAACTTCCTCATTGGAACTCACGAAAAAGCGGCTCTGAAGAAGGCGATACTGCCGAAACGTCAGCTAGCGTTGTATTGTATTGTGTTTTTATGGAAGTAAATGTATGCTGTTTAAAAACCTCGCGATTGCTGAACAAGAAAACGACACATTCATATTGTGTCACCATTTATAGGAAATGTATATATATATATATATATATATATATATATATATATATATATATATATATACGTCGCGAGTGCTTGTGACGAAAAATGTGGTGCCTTTAAACTTTCGAGCACATCTCAACTCACAGATGACATAATTAATTGAAATGAAAGTGCTAAAAATAACACATCTTTGGAAAAGAAAAAAGGATTCATTGTTTTATTAAGGCGAGATTGAAGCTATGTAGAGACACCCAACTTTGCCTTTGATTTCTTTTTTCGCTGAAGGTCGGAATTTAAAAAATGGAAGGTGGTTGGCGATAGGTCCGTTGAGTGCGCTGAAGGCACGGCTTCCTAGTCAAAACCCTCAAAATTTTGCGACTTCCCATTGCGCAGAGTTCTATGGGATGCAATGCAGACTTTGCACCTTTTCTGTTAACCAATTCCGGAAGCGCACTTTGCAGTGTTTGATGCACTCACATGGATCCAAGGTTTGGACTCGTTGTTCCAGCTGCGCTAGAATTGCAAATATATCTTGTGTGTAAATAAACATACTCATGCACGCATCCATAGATGCTGCGCGTGTATGCCAGCTGTTCTCCTCACGTCTACTTAGCTTACAGTTTGTAAGCAAGTGACTGGAAAGTAAACAGTCATCGAGCAAGTGGTCGTTGCAGACAGACAAGCCTTTCCAGTACAACCGCCATTACACGTGAGCTATATAAACATTATGACATATGCTTAAACTACATAGAAATAGGAAGTCTTATAATAGTTCCCAGGATCGACTTTCTCTTAACCTCGGCATTGGAATATGAATGTGTCGTTTTCTTGTTCAGCAATCGCGAGGTTTTTAAACAGCATACATTTACTTCCATAAAAACACAATACAATACAACGCTAGCTGACGTTTCGGCAGTATCGCCTTCTTCAGAGCCGCTTTTTCGTGGCTTCCACTGAGGAAGTTTAGAACAGCTGATTATAGTCGCATGTGGTTGACGACTGCCTTTTCTTTTTTTTAAATTTTTTTTTTGGATAAATGCCAGGAGCCCTTTTCTTTTTTTTTAATTTTTTTTTTGACAAATTTTCTTTTTTTTTAAAAAAAAAGGAAGTCTTATATTATATTTGTCGCATACAGGAGTTGGCCAGCGGGTTCTGCCCACTCTAGGAACTCGCTGAGCATCATATCTTCTTTCTAGTGTTTCTATAAGCATCAATTCAATGGTCTTCCTACTGTGGCGTTTGACATGCTGAGAAATCCAGCTAATGGCTGTTGTCCATCGGCTGTTGTTCACATGTGTCCAGCCCACTTCGATAATTGGACATATAGAATGGAGATTGATATGCATTGTAATAAAACATTGCCGAAATCCTGTTTGCTCGAAAGGGTCATATTGTGATATGTTCTATCAGCTTCTTCGAAAAATAGAGAACATGTTGATACGACCACATTTGCTTATATCATAAGTTCGTCGGGTTCTTCCTCACAAATCAGATAGTACGTTGCACTTCGAAAATGAAAACCACTAGAACGACATATTCTTTTTTATAAGCTAATGTCAAAGTGGTTATCAATGTATTCGAAACAGAAATCGTAGATAATGTAGTACAAACTCCCCAGGCCTTCCTCCAAAAGTTCAAGAAAATACTTCTAACGAAGCAGTGAGTGTTCCATTGTGAGATGCATAAAATAGACGAAGAGCAAAATACACAACGGCGAATTCGCAGTCAATCCACTCATTTATTTAGCTATTTCACCTTTATCTTCAACTGACAAACAATTATTTACTTTTTAATGACGAATTCTTCTCACAGACCATCAGGTGCTTTTTGAGGGTCAGCTCCAGCTGCGGATTTCAGATGGTTGTTGTGAACTGCCGATAGAAACCCAGAACCGTCTTCGTCATTAAAACACATGCCTTCGGTACAAAACCTTAGAAACCAACTCTATGTTCTGCGCTCGCAAGTGCTCTGTTAGGCCAACAAGTTTGAATTTATAAATTGAAATGATGCCATTTTCATGTTCGGAGAGAAGTTAACCTATCTAAGATAATTTAATACTAAACTTTAGAATAATAGCGCAAAGCAAGGAATAATTTTTACAAGATGTATTTGCAAAATTCGTTACAATAACTGCTACTACGTCAACCAAGGCCATACAGCATGAACCTATTCACGTAAGTGCAGATATACAGATTTTATCAAAAATTATTCCTTTAAAAGGTTGAGGAATTCTTAATAGGGCAAGCTTCTTTGATAAGTGTATGGATGACTTTTTTGAAAACTGAAGCCTAACTTCAAGTCAGCAGCGTACATTTGTAGCACCAACTACTCACCGATAGTAATCTTGCTTCAAAACTTTGGTATTTACTAATGAATATTTGCTAAATACGAAAGTGGCTAGACGGAATAAATTAACGAACTTCGAGCATGCCTTCCTTCTCCAAAGTGGGTGCGTTGTCGTCGATGTTTATTATCGAAATCCCAAGTTCCGCCTCTGCTTCGTAGCCGAGTAATCCAGCAGAGAGTCTCAACGAAAATGTTCGGTCTGACGGCGACAAGGACTCGAAATCGAGGCGTTGAACAACCGAAATCGCTCCTAAACTTTATGTGTTTAATCATAGAATTTTCTTTTTTGAATGCAGCTTGTGAAACACTCACAATGCCTTCCACAACAACACCTCGAAAAATGATTAGCAAAAATCACCATTATGCGAATATTTTCGGACAACCTTCGCGGCTCTCTAAAGATTTTCCATACTATGGACATATTGATGATAGAATTAGCTAATAGAATTTAACCTTAACTTGATTGAGTTTACCAATCTTAGCAATGTTTATACTACGTTTGTCAACAATCAAGGGTGCTGTCGAGTCTCCGAAATCGCCTAATTTCATTAGGCTGTACATCCGGTAGCCCCACCTCCAGTGTCAATATTAATGTGAAACTTAATGGTTTACAAATAAATGAATTACATTATAGTTTCACTTGTTGTGAGGCCAAGATTGTGCATTTTCATTAGTAGCTATCGCTGTTTAATTTTTTTAAAGAACTTTTCAAAATCATCGATGGTTTCCGAGAAGGTTTCTCGCTTGTAAACCATGTGTGGAACACTGGCTTCATCGCTATTGGCTAATCAGTGTCTAGATCATAACAGCATCCACTGAGGAAAACAGCACTAAATGTAGAGTGAAAACAGTCGAGCTCGCGTGACCCAGTGGTAATGATAAGATTAGACAGGCGTAAAGCCTCGGCCTTGATCTAGTGTATGGCCAACGAGGCTCCACACCTCGACAAGGTGTGGAAATTGGAGCCACACTACTCTAGGATCTGTATGCTCTTATGAAATGCTCTTGCTGAACTGATGCGAGGTTGGCATAAGTCAATCTTTTGAGTTACTCTAGGATTCGTTCGCTTTCTATAATCTAGTCTGGTGACTACATGCAGTGAAGATCTTGAAACCCTCAGGTACGGGTATCTCAGAATTGCAGGGAAGATCAACTTGACCAGTAGTAATAACTATGGATTGATTATGCTCCTCGTAGTCAAAAGCGTACTTATTATGTTATTATGACATTATGATTTTTAACAAGCGTTTTTCAAAGGAAGTCAGAATAACCAAGTAGCCTACCGGTGGTTGAATCGACAGCAAACATTTCTTTCATATCGCCATCCATTACCAGTGATACGAGTGATCCATCCATAGGATTCACGGCCGGTAGCGTGTAAATTATGTGTCCGGGTGGAAGCTCTTCAGAAATGCTCAGCTAGAAACCAAAATTTGGGTAGAAGAGTTCTTATGGCTATGAGAGCTACCCACCTCAATCACCGAATCTTCCCGTGTCCAAGGAAGGGGAAATAGAGGTCTTGCTAACTCTTTCCGCCTACTTTCAATGAATTCTGGGGAAGAGGTAAGTGTGAGAAAGACAGTCGCTGAAACAAGGAGACACTTTCTAGCAAGCTACAAAACTTTAAACATTAAAAATTTATGATTCGAATATTTATATACGGTGTCAATTTCTACACACACTCACTCCAAATGGTTGACTGCCTCGCTACGTCTGAGGAGTGTTAAGGTGTGTCCAACTACGATTTATCCCCGTAATTTTCTCACCCAAGGCGAGTTCGACAGAACTATTCAGAGTAAAAAAACACATGCCACGTAGAAGTCCAGCGAGCTAACCGTGAATATTTATTCGTCAAAAGTAGTAACAAAGTAAGGCTCAACTTTTAATTTGCTGCCTATTATTTTTTATAGGAAGGTATTATGTGAAATATAACTGCATGAATGTTGAGATATGAGCAAAACTCTGACCTAAGGTTACCTTCGAACGAAAAAACTCTGAGAGAATTCAAGGCAAGGGCCTCGGTTGTGCTATAGGTAACACGTGAGCCCCCGGAAAGGATAACTGCTAGTTCGAAGCTGTCCTAGGATCCGGATTTTGCAAATGTCTAAGCATCACTATAGTTAGAAAATAGTTTCATAGAAAAAAGTCTGGTGTTTTTCGTTCACTATGCAGCTGTGTTGGAAGGGTTTAAAAGGGATCTGCTAGTAATTTATCGAAGTTCTCTATAATTAACGAGATCACGGGCTATGTAGGTGAATTTTCGCTGGATGATACCATCATTTGAGAATGCCATAAATTAAAACGCTTTTGCATTGAAAAATCAAATGCGATCTAAAACGTTGTATCCCTCAACATTCCCTTGATTTGAATATTTACTTCGACAGAACACAAATTGAAACCCGTAAAGTAGGTATTTACTGCTGTGAAAACTTTGAAAAATGGAACCTGTTTCTCTTTCGGAGACAAGCTGGACGCTAATTACCCGAAGATCCACGAGGGAACGCTTCCGGAACACAACGGCCTCTTTGCTGATGGTCAAATCACCCTAGAACGTGAGAAGATTTCATGATTGTAGCACAGCTATCCGTCTTATGATTTCTATACTTTTTACGCTTTTTAAAAACATTTGTAATTCGTGTATATATACATATTCCTTTTTGATTCCCCTATATAACACCACCAACTGTGTCAAGGCATTAGCAAAATAATCTGATGTCGTAGTAACCCAAGCGACATAGCTCTATTTGTGGCCTGATTATTCCTATGTGCGCCAAATAATTTTTTAATCTACTAAACTGTTGAAAAGTTGTAAACTGTGGTTGATTCCATACGACTGCATAAAAAGGCTCATGTAAGGTCCATCGAATTATCTAAGGCTCGGATCTGAGGAAACAGTTGATTCACGCATTTGTGGATTATGGAGATTTAAGGAGGCTCAACTCGTGTTCAGATGTTCTTCGGAAAGATACTGAGTATGCAAAACGCTGAGTCAACGCCTCCAGTCCAACTGGGACCGCACAACCAGCGCTTGTAGTCCAAAACCTTCATTCAATCTCATGGGACTTGGAAATGTGGACCAAATGCAATTTTGCGATTTACAAGAATTATTAACATCGAAAGACCGACTTTCCATAAACCTCGGCATAGATGGCTGATATATTTATTTATGTGATCTTATAAACTGATCTTCTTAAGCTGACGCGCGGTTGGTACAGATCCTCGTTGTCGTTGTCGTTGTTTTTGATGTTATTGATCGATGGCTGACCACGGCTCTGAGGAAGGCGAAGTCGCCGAAACGTCAGCCATCGATCAATAACATCAAAAAAATTATTAACATTCTCCACTCAACCTTTCACTCACATTTTCGACCATTTTCTAAAATGGAATACGGATCTGTTTTAATTACACCGTGGTCTAAGGAACCTCCCAACGATTCACCGCCTAATCTGGCTGGGAAGTGTTCCTGGGTGTCGGGCTGCCATGTACCGCGGGGGATCCATCCCATCGGCAGGATCTCCCAAGCTGAGAACAGCGTTTCCATCGAGAAACCCAGCTAAGAGTAAACCACTACCAGGATCCACTACCATCCTGGTGTCGCACTAGTCGCATGGTGGCAAATCTCACTCTGATCCACATCCAAGGCTGCCACTGCCTGTGGTGGTGACGACGTGCTGCAGACTTTGATCAGGCTGTCCTCGGGACTGCAGTGAGCCATAATGACTAAACCAGGAAATCTCCAAAGAATGGAGATTGAGTTGTGGAGAGGTCCGCACAACCAATGAAGGTGGGCCATCTAGGTATCCAAGTAATAAAGTGAGTATAATCTAACGAAAACAAGGTCACAGGTGATAGCTGACTCACTCGACCACCTACATGCTTGAAGGGAAAATAAATAAATATCAGCAAACCTCCTGGAAATCTCTCTGCTGACCATCCTCGTCGATGGCGAACGCCGACTCTATGTTAACTACTGCGTTGCGGCGTAATTTGAACGGCACAAAAAACTCAGATGAAGATTCTGCAAGTGAAATCCTTTACAAGTTGTTGCAAAATTCGATCAAACATGACGTCAGGACAGAAATACCGACCGCGATCGAGCACTCGTTCGTAGAAGCTTTGGGAGAAAAGCTTGCTCGCGGACGTGGATTCCCCGACCACCGTGATCTCGAGCAGCGTCCGGGCCAGCAGCGCGTCGTTCTGCCGAGCGACGGCCCCGATCCCCACCAGGTAGTTGCCGGCCTCCACCTCGCTGAAGCTTCTTTTTTGAAAGCTGCACCTCCAGCGCAGCCTCATTCACATTGATGCATTTTATTTTGTACTGCCTATATTGATTTTAATTTTTCTTTAGCCACTTTGTGAAATAATTAATCCATGTATTAACTAGGAACAGAAAAAAAGGGTGACGAATAAATTATTCAAAAACGCAGCTTGGATGGTCAGGGAGGCATAATATAATAGGAACAGGAAAAGTAATGGGATAGATTTAGCAAAAAAAAACATGCATTGATACGTTGATTAAAGTGAAAAATTGCAAAAACAATGTTCACTTGGAAAGGACACGATCTTGTTCTCGCATGTGTCAGATGTGCTTGCCGGTGCCGTACTTTGGTTGGAAACATTAGGAAAAATTAAAGGAAAGTTCTAGAAAAATCACTTACATCCCTAAAGAGATAGCTTAGAGGCCCTGCTGTAAGACTGCAGATTCTTAAACTCCTTCACTAATCAACTTAGCAAAATTGCTTCGTGACTGAAAGGATCGACTTTCTATGAACCTCGGTATTAATAGTCGATATATCTTTTTATACGTTCTTATGAACCGCCCTCGCTTAACTGACGCTAGGGTGGCATGGATGTTCTTATTGTTATTGTTTTTGTTGTTGTTGTTCTGTGGCCCTAAATCTCGACAACATCGCCTCCTCAAAACCCGGACGAAGTTTGTGCAACAACAGCCCTGTAGGGAAGATCCAGAATATGAATAAACGCAATTTTTCAAATTTTTCATTTTTTTAATTTTTCCAATTCTACCCACTGCGCTGCTGGATCACTCCGTGTTGTTCACGGGAATGATGAGTGAGATCCACACATGGGGATGTGCATTAAAAATCATTATGATGCTATATCACGTGTGAAAAATCATGGGGTGCTATACGAAGTGAGGCATTCGTCTTTCCGGTTCATCTTCTATTTCGTTTGATATGAATACCCAGGTAGGGGTATTCCCTAAAATAATATTTCAAACCTAAATAAGATCCATTTCAAACTAACCTTTATATCAAACGAAATAAATTACACAATTAAGTGGTGTCATGAAAAAGTGGTCTTGAAAGTTATGTGGCGGTTATTGACCTCCCACCCAACACCCTGTGCCGTTAATTAGTTCGCAACTGTCTCTATGGTCACAATCTTAACCCTTTTATTTACTGCCTTTTTCTTTTTAATGGCAAAGTATGTTGCGAAATATAACTCGTATATAATGTTGAGATATTTGCAAAACTCCGGACCGCAGGTGTATGCAGTGGGGAACGAACGCGCTCTATTGCCTTTACCGGGGAGTAGCGCACTTCACCACCACACCATGCGGTTCCTTCGTCTCGTCTGTCTCTCAGCTAGTTCTATCGATCTTTTGCCATCAGCAATCACCCGTCAGTCACTAGAATCAGTAACTCAGAGACAGGCGAAACGAAGGACCTGGATGGTGTGGTGGTGAAGTGCGCTACTCCCCGGTAAGAACAATAGCGCGCGTTCGTTCCCCACCGCATACACCTGCGGTCCGGATTTTTGCAAATATCTCAGCATTATATATGCGAGTTATATGTCTCCATGGTCGTTTCTACAGTACAGAGAATTGTGTCGTCTGTTCCAACGGGGCAGATGGGACTGCATAAGCTCAGCTACAATATACTTGGTCTTATGTAAAGCATGCAGTGAAGAATACATTGGGGAAGCGGATATACCACTTTGTGTTCGCATAAATGAACATCTTGGTGGGAAAGGTAAAATTCGTCAAAACACCCTCTAGGTACACAATAGCTGACCGTCTGGATCCTACAGAAGGAATCAAAAACATCAACGCAGAAGACTCTTGAGAGGGCTTGGATAGATTTCTGGAGCCCAAAGATGAATCAGAAAGACGAATACCTACTTTCTTAAGTGATATTCCACCTTATCTAAGAATTTTTTTAATACATATCCCCATGAGTGGGTATCAATCACTGTCCCTCGAGAACAGCAGATGCGTGATCCTGTAGCATGTGAGTAGTTCTCGAGAAATTGGCGTTTATTTATATGCTCGATCTTTATTAATTCTATTGATTTCACCTAATCATGGAGGTATTGTTATATCAATGATGCTGAGATATTTTCAAAACTCCGGACCGCAGGTGTCAGCGGCGGGAAAGAACACGGTATTACCCTTTCCAAGGGCTAACGCATTCACCACCACACCATGCAGGTCCTTCGTTTCACCCGTCTCTCAGCCAGCTATTGTTATATATTACACGTCCAGGGTCTGAAGAAGGAGAAGTCGCCGAAACGTCTGCTATTGAATAACAACAACAATAACAATAAGAACATTTACACCAACCTCGCGTCAGCTTAACGTAATTTTTTGAAAGTTATCGATAAGCCATAACCGGTGGTTAGTCGCTAGGATCCGCATCCCATTTACTAGACCCTGTCCACACTATGTGTGTCTAGACCGACAGATATATAGAACAACTAACCTAATATAGCTGTCGATCCATATTCGGCCTCCATAATCCTCAATAGAGAGCCACCCAGGGTTTCCATGAAGAATCACGAAGCTAGCCTCGTCAATCGGGACGCCTTCTAACTCCACTTGAAGCAGCTGGTTACCTGAGTGAAAGTATACATTAGATATCTTTGAAAACAGTTTAATATTAGACGAACAAGCTCCAACGGATTCCGCTTACCTGGGTGCACTTTGTCAACAGTAATCGACCTCGAATACTTTTCTCTTCTGAAGTGAGCATTAGAATAAGAATTCTGAAAAAGGATTTAATCTCTACAAAAGTAACGAAAACTGTTCTCTGCAAGTCTTTAATTCGCTCGTCGAGGGATCCAACATGGAAGCAAAATATGAATTATTTTCTTTGGAGACTCCGTGGCGCAGTGTGCAATGTGCGAGCCGCCCGAAAGGGAAATCGTGGTTTTACCTGGGCCGGGGTCCAAGTTTTGAACATCTCAGCATCGTTGTGGCTGTACTTCCTTAGAGACTTTGGAAAAATTAATGATTTAGCAATCTAATAGAACAAATTCTAGTAATATGGGGGTTCCACATGTGAAGATGTGTGCGAAAATTTCAGTTACACCGTTACGTAAAATGGTTGCAAAAAACATTCGCACGAATGTTAGCATGACAAGATGACGCTCTCTTTATACCTGAAGTTGCACCTCCATTGCAAGCGTGTCCGACCAATTTCCATCAGAAACAGTTATGTGTAGTTGATGATGACCCAGTGGAGCAAAGCCACTCACATCAACCTGAATGGGAGTCACAGCACGAGTCCTGGTTATGGATAAATTACCACCGCACTCACCTGGTGGAGATTTTCTGAAATTTGTTTGAGCGATAAGAAATCCGCAGCTGTCCCAGAAACTGACAAACGATTGTTGTTTGAACCCGGGGAATCTTCGTCAAGAACCTTAAAAGCAAAAAATGCTCCATCTTAGACCCATCTACGAATCGCAGAATATGTTTACATTTAGCACACGAATTCTTTCCAGGCTTTTTCTTCGAGAAATGCACCCAAGAACATTAGTTTTCACTTCAATTTTCTATTAATTCAATTTTGCCGGTCTAATTTTCGCTAAGTTATCCTACAATAGGGCGCGAGTGGTGAGTGGTCGGCGGAGCTTGCAAAACACACACACACACACACACACACACACACACACACACACACACACACACACACACACACACACACACACACACACA